GACAGGAGAACTCATGCCAAGTAGTTAATAGTTTAGTCAACAAGACTGCTATTAAAGGATGTACTGATGTGTCTGGCTTAGTTTAGACCCTTTTGGGATGAAACATTTCTGGGATAATATACAAGTTAAGTTTTAACAGAGGTTCCCATGGAGAGTGAGACCAGAAAGGAGAAAGTGGTCAGAGAATATTTCCTGTCCACTTTATAGCTTTTGCCCAACTAAAAAAATTTTCCACAGTATAAATTTTATAATAAAAATAAACAAAATAAAATGACAGAAAGGGTTGATACAGAGAACATTTAGGAATGGGCATAGGTTTTCAGGCAGGTAAGTGATACCATCAGATAGATTGGTGAGCTGCAGTTTGGTCAATGAGGCAACACAAAGCAGAATGCAGGGTCAGCTATTAGACTAATTTTGGGAAGAGATGTTGAATGATAGCTCCTAAGAGAAGTAATGTTTACACAATATTCCAAAGCCCACCTGGAGGATCTCATCTTTTTCAGACCAGAATATTTAGAATAAAATAATTCAAAGCAAGTGTAATTTTAGGAAATTCAATATGCTTACACTAGGGGGAGTTGTGTTTGTATTAACAGGCTAATTCTCTGTCAGTTAAACAATCCATACATAAACATATCCTAAGAGCAAAATTATGGGACAGATGTGTGAAAGGGAAAAACTTGTAAGTGATATATATTTTTCTGAATTACAAATGAATAAAAAAACGAGTAAGAGCAGCACAGGATACCTTTTTGCATTAGCTTTTTTCCCACTGTGAATCAACCAGCTCTGATTTTTTACTTTCTGTCATTGTAAGCATTTGTTTACTAAACTAACTGCATTTCATTAACAGGCTAGTCCCTGAGAGCATTACCTTAGCCCATTAGCTTCCAGACAGTCATTAATTCCTGTGACATGTCCTGGGATGAGATCATTATTTTATTATTATTATTTTTTTATTAATTAAGTTCATTTTCAGAACAAATATCTATGAAGCTTTAACACTGGATAGTTTCTTTCTGAAACATGGTTTTTGGTATGTTTGGAACAGTGATTTGCTGCTTCTTCACCCAGGTTGTGGCTACTGAAGCTAATTTCGAAGCTCTGCTTAATTCTCACAGTTTGGCAACAAATTAGAAACAGCTTTGCAACAGTATTACAATAGAGTATTTGGATTTCTCTGTAGGTTTTTTTTTTTTTTTTTTTAAAATTGGGACTTCTGAAATGATCTCTGAGGATCATATGACTGCAGTGTGGTCTCCTGGGGGCAGAATTTCACAAAGGCTGTGCATTTGGCACTTCTTGTTTACAAGAATTGTTGCCACTGATGAATATGATGGTTGTTTAGTCAGAGTTCTGCAGAAGGAAAGCCCCTGCTTGACTACAATGGAAAGAGCAGATGTCACAGAACAACATCAAAGTGAAGGCTCTGGCTGGCAGAGTCCATTACCACTTCCCAACACTCAGTATCAGAGACAGAGGACTGGAGAGGTAGCTCAGTTGTAGAGGGTTTGCTAGCATGTGCCCAAACCCTGGGTTTGATCTCCAACACCACAAAAAAAAAAAAAGAGTAAAGTAAAATTAGAGACAGACAGAAGAAAACTCATAAAACCACTGTGAAAATTACAAACAACCACAAAAGGTAGATGAAATACAGTGCTTTAAAAATTCCAAGCTGCCCAATAAAAATAGGAATTGATATTACAGATACCATAAACCATAAATGAGGAACACAAATGGTTTGGGAGAAAAACAGTTCTGACAAGTTTGGATGCCAAAGATTTTTAAAGCTGATCTCTTTTGGCCTGGTAAGTTTTTATGCATTTTTGTCGTTCCAGCCAAGAAGTCCGAGGATTAGTGGATGTTTCTGCCAGCCTGGAACTCATGTGGTAAAAAGAATGTACTCCTGTGACAGTAAAAAAAAGGAAAGCATAAAAACAAAGGGATTCCTTTCAAGAAAGGGATAACAATTAATTATCCACTGCAATATGGGTCCAGTGCTTCAAAATAATGTTGAATTAGTTATTTATTAAAATAAGAAATTTCTGCTTATACATTCAAAATATGGCCATTTTCATGTAGAATTACTTCTCTAATGATATCTGGTTTTCACAATGCTTGATGAGGTAGGTTTAATTGCCCAAAAGAATAGTATTTGAAATCTATTCTAAATTAGTTTCATTGGGGGAACTCTAGCTCTTTATTAAAATAATAATAATAATATTAGAAGCTTTTTGGATACTAATTTTATGTGGACTAATAACTAATTCATATCAGCTTTTTTAAACCTATACTTTTTATTGATGAAAAGGAAAACACATTCATCAGAATAGCTCAGAAGCATCCAATGGAGGAAATGGAGAAGATGCAAATTCCTTCTGTTTTCAGCATTTGTTCAATATTTGCCTTGTAGCCAACATAGTACTAGTTAGATGACAAGACAGTGAGTTCTATTAATGATGGACTTTTCATCACCATAGATATGCTTTTTCAATTTTCCTAGATTTCTACTCTAGGGTCACATGGTAAGTCAATAGTAGTTATAAACCTCTCAACATTGTGATCAATACCTTTGGCTGACGTAATCTAGACCTTTAGTGTAATTTACAACAAAGGACCGTGTGGGCAGGCCTCCATTTTTATTACCTTCAATTCACCAACTGAAATATTTCACTAATTTATGACTGAAGTTCTTTCCAGTTTTTTGATAGATAGGGAATTGAGATAGTCCTGAAGAAAAAAGGTTAAGTTTGTGAAAAAAAAAAAAAAAAGAATGACTAGCAATCAGTGTTTCTTCCTTTGGAGCATAATGTTTACATGTCCTGAAATTGTCAGAGTTGCTATAGAAAGAATCCTGTCTGTGTAGCTACCTGTGAGTGTCTAGTCCTCTGGATGGAAAAGCGTATTTATTCCTTATCTTACAAACCCACAATATGTGACTAAAACAATGCAGAACTTAGTCTACGTTTGTCTGAACCTGTATAATCATTGACCATTTATTTGAACAAAATGAGAACAATAGTTATCTCTAGATTGTGATAACAATGCTGAGGACTGTGATTTCTGTCATTCACCATAATACATTCCTGTACTTTACAAAGATTGTTCTTTTCTGTATCTACTGTTTATTCTAGGTCTGAAGACTGAAGAAGGAAAACAGTCACTGGAAGAGCAATTAAAGGAATAGAAGGGAGTTCAAAGAAAGAAGAGATGCAGGTACAGTTCAGATGTCCTGCAATCAGTGGAAATGTGCTAAATGTCTTGTCACTCTTCCAATTAGCCACCCTCACAGCCTCATCAATGAATGCTCAAGGATGAGGTAGAATCACAGTTGTGAGGTGAAGAAAAGGTAAGGATTTGGATTTAAACATCTACTAGGTCCTTTTTAAATAAACCACAGACTACCTGTACATGGGTTTTTATTTTCTCAGACTAAAGATAGTAATACTGACCAATTATTGAGCAACAGTGGTGTGCTACGTGTGTTGCACACTCATTTTCAGTCCTCAAACAACTTTGCAAGAGCAGCGTTAATCTATTTGACAAATGAGGAAGCAGGTTTAGAGAGGTTCAACACATTGTCCAAGGTCATGCTTGTCAGGGCCTGGTCTGTTTACACAAAAAGCCTGTACTTTTTGTATGTTTAAACTGTGATACTTCCTCAAGCTTCACTGATCTAAGAAATACAAAGTTCTTATATTGACTGATTGTGTAATTTTGTCTGTCTTTCCTATTAAATTCTTCGGAGAACAGTTTTATAGCCCTTATTATCCAAAATAGTACCTGACATACATAGCTGTTTGATAAATATTTGTTGAATTAAATAAAATACCAATTTCTTTGATATAATACTATTTCCTGAATGAAATTGGGCAATTAACAATGCAAGATATCATGTCAGTATTGAAATATCCTTAAATTTTATAATTTATTTTTTAATCTCTCTTGCCTTCTTAAAAGATGGAATCTGCCTGATAGGACAGAGGGTAAAAATATAACTGATGCCTACCTACATCATGAAATGAAAAATTAATTTCCACAAGGTAATTAAAAAATTCAGAACATTGAACAAAACTTTGCAAAGGGATGCCTTTCTGTCCCTCTTTCCCCAGAAGGTCCACACCCCCCTGTCCTGTGTCAGAGTTTACCAAATGTCATGGGACTTACCTAGGCAATAGCTTTTTCCATTGTGTTTGAAAGTGACTGAGATGAAACTGTTTCAGTTCAGCAACTCATTGAGAATTTACTAAGGGCCAGATAGGAATATAAAGACGATAGGCACTTGACTTTATGGGGCAGAGAGCAGTGATTGAACTTCCTATGGAAATGCGTCTCATGGCTGGGAGTTTGGTTGTGGACAGGGACTGAATTCTTTTCTAATAAAGACATCCTCTACTGTGTTTTGTAAGCATCAGTTTAAAATTGGCATCCTTTAAAAATCAAATTTCCCCAAAGTATTACACAATTCTTAAGATGACTGGAATATCATCTTTGAGTTTCTTTACTATTACAACAATGTATATGGAAATAGCCTGAAGGCAGTTTCTCTGTGAAGTGAAGCTCAGAAGGGTAGGCATGTGTGTAGGTGGAAAGAGTAGTTTTGAGGGGGCAAGAAGGTATCTGTCTTTAACCTCCATCTGGTATCAATCCATGTCTGTCATATCTTCTGATCCAAGTATACATCTTGCTGGAGAACAGCACCAAGCTAACAAAGGCACCAGGTGTTCTAGTAGTGGAAAGATTGTCAGGAAAATGCAGATAATTCAGCAAATCAAGGCAAACCACCTTTAGAAAGATGGAGACTTCCAGAGATTCAGGATGCAAATTCTTTCAGCAACTGCCCATGCATTAACTTGACTAAGCCTCTTCTCATCTATGGATGAGCGAGATGGGGCCAGGTGAAATTAATCTTAGGCTTCCTGTGTTATTATGTAAATGAGTAGGTAATCAAGCATGACTAGCAATAACCAACTCTCAGTATACAAGATGTTGCATTACTTTATTTTATCTGTATGATTTATCAGAACAACAGCTATTAACATACAAAGTACCATTCAGTTCAACTGCAGGTATAGGCAGTGACGAGTGTCTAATTCTTAGAAGAATTACTCCCACAATCTGTCTAGACATATAAACCTAGAAAAGTTCATAAATAGAAAACATGACTTTCACATTGCAGTTTTCTTGAGCATGTATGTACAGGTGTGCCATCTTTTAATTTAATTTTTTATTTTTTGGCTTTTGAGACAGGGACTATGTAGCCCAGGCTAGCCTAGAATTGGCTCTTGCCTCTGCCTCCCAAATACTAAGATTATAGGTATGCATCACAATACCCAGACTTTTTTTTATTTTCGATGCATTCATCTTCTTGATTTTGTAGAGATAGTTATTTTTTCCTGCACAGAGGACTTTTTTTTGTCATCCACCATTTACAATACTCTATGAATCAGTGCTACTCTTCACAGTTATGAAGCAGTCACATTTGAATTGAAATATCTCTGCAGTGCAATTCCTGTGTCTTCTGGTAAGTCCCACCATTGTCAAAGAGCTTTGGTGGGAGTAATTTTCCTGCACCAACAGCCAAATTCAACTATTGGGTTTCGATGTAACCCAGGCTTATTGTAGCTTGCTCTATTAACCCTTGGCTTCCAGTCCCGCTGATGTAATGAGGGTGGGGTGGGTTGGCAATTAGTACATTTCCTTATCACTATTTACAGTCATTTAAAATCATGCCACTATTAATCCTATTAATCCCGGTCTGACATATCTTTTCTCAAACGTTCACAGTGCAGGGTTGTTTTTTTTTTTGTGGCCTAACAAAATTTTTCTCCTATCATTAAAAATAAACATTTCTATAAAAATATAATACTTTCAATGTTTGCACTGACAAAACCAGTTAGAATAACCTACAACACATGCACTATACAGTAGTAAGCACAAAGTTCCACAGAATAAAATATCACAAAAGTCTTGGCCAGAGAAACTATAAATCCAGGTGAAACAGGATTTCCAATTTTTTTGTTTCTGAAATATGTTTAGTTTAACATAAAACATGTTCTAATGCAAAATGGAACTCCCCTAAAGTTTTGTCTTCAATTGTTTGTGAGTTGGGAAGCCATATCACCTGAGAGTTAATATTTTCAGTCCATTGACCTTTGCTCGATCTACATACAAGCCGTGTCTGGAACCAATGAACCTTTTAGTCCTTGTACTCTGCTTTAAAAACATGCTGAGTAACGTTTACAAATATTTATCATCACAAATTACCTGTTTATTTTCAGGGTTGTCATTCAAAAACAGATAAAATGTCCAAATGTCCACATTCACTCATCAGAACAGTATCATCTCAAGCGGTTGATTTTTCAATGATAACTGAATATATCATTGTGACCAAGTTATTTTATGAGAATCGTAATGTCATCTATGCACAATAATCTACAAACACACCTTGTGTTATGTTATTTTGAAACTTTCAGTGCATTGTCTATGGATATTCCTCCAACCAATGGAATGTGTATACGAAATAAAAAAGGGAATGTTTGACAAATGGGTGAATGACAACATCAGTAGGGAAAGGTGTTCATGACCACACAATCCACAAAAATTCTTTGAAACTCTAAAATTCTGAATGAGTGCCTGGTCTTGGGGCTGTCACATCTGTCCTGAAAGAGACCATCTCTTGGGTGTTTTCTGTGATTAAAAAGCCCTCAAAATTCATTGTACCAGTTCCTCATATGAAATCAAATGGGACTCTAATTTTAAAAATCTCAACCCAGAATCCAGGTTTCAGACTCCAATGCAATAGGAGTGTTGTCCTTGCTGCAAGGTTTGCCTTGGTCACTGGCCTGTGGCTCCAAGCTTCTGGTTCTGATGTTTTGTCAGATGAGATATTCCTTAGAATACAGCAATTTAAATAACAATAGAGTCCCACACTGTTGCAATTTTGGCAAAAGCAAAACATATCAGATGACCTTTTGAAGGCCTGGCAGTGAAAACTGTTGGAGAAACACAGAACATTGTTCCAGCTAGTACTATCGTGTTCCCAGAAGGCGGCTGGTGGGACGCCCAGCCATCATGTGCCCACATCACCATCAATGTTATCTTGCGATGACAACAGAGAAGGATATGGAGCAACACATTTTACATTTACATAAGTAGTGTTCACATGGACGTAGTGCTCCCCAATGAAAGTGGAGAAGATTGCTGATATCCTGGACACCAGCTCAGAGAAGGATGGGCGCATTTCAGCTTTGGGGTGCCAGCATTTCAGCATCACTTCATACCTGTTTCAGAAAAAAAAAAAAATGCAATGAAAGATCTCCTAAAGGCGAGTATTTCTGTAAAAGTACTGGGTATAAAATATACAGAAGATCCTGTTGGGCTTCCTACTTACAAGGAGTCTGGGCAGTATTCGGGTTGTAAGAGCCTTCTGCCTTGTAACAAGTAAACAGTGATATCAAAAGTGTTCACGTCAGGGTAAGGCGGAGCTCCTCGTGTCATCAACTCCCAGAGGAGCACACCAAAAGACCACTAGTAAAATGAAAGAGAGGAGAATACAGGTGAGAGAAGTGTGGCCATACACACATGGAAGGACATCAGGAGGTCTGGGTAACTAAACTTGGCTTAACATATTCAACACTATTGCTATTTTGGAGCAAAAAAAAAAAAAAATCCCAATCATTAAGCTATATGTCTCACAGCCTATTTAAGCCAGAATCAGATGAGATTTGGATTGCAAATAAGTGTAGTTTTTAAAAAGAATATGTGAAGTCTACATGGTGATTAAGATTTCATCAGTGGTTAGTGGAGTACATTTTCCAAGTTCTCTCTTGTAGGGTCAAAGTAGCAACATGTTTCTATCTTCTCTCTCAATAGCTTTGCTACAATTTTAGATTACTCATAGAAGAGGAAGATAAAGAAAGCCTTCCAGAATTTAAATTTGTGGATTTCAGCATGGACATAAATACTCTTTAAGAAATGTAATCATATCTACTAAATGTTAACGTTAAAAGATAGAAATCAGTATAAGTAAAAATCCACATTAAAAGCAGAAATAATAAAGCTGCTAGGAAACAAGGTCCTCTATTGAAAACTACTTTCAATAAAACTGCGATTCAAAAATAATAAAGTACTAGAGTAGTATGAAATAGTTGTATCAGTACTTTATAGGAAGCTCAGAGAGACATGGAGAGGTTAAGTGACTTGCTGAAATTCCCCAATATATCTGAATTCACAGTGGGATAAACATTTAAGTGTTCTTGACCCTTGGGTTTTGCTAGGTCTACCGAACTTCACTAAGTATGCATTTTCTTGATTTAGAGCACTCTCCTCAGAATAGATCAGGTCACACATATTATCTCTCTCTGGACATATGCCAAAGTGAGCATGAAAAGGAGAGGAAGTCAGCGTCTGCAAGTCACCCTGTGCAGAGTACCCAGGAAGTCAGTTCTTGCTAGGCAGCACCTCCAGGCCACTTCTAGTCTGAGAAACATATGGAGAGGACATGAAGCCGTGACAAAAGGAAACTAGGAGGGGAAAGAAAATCTAGACCAGACGCATGGAATAGGAAAAATGAAAAACTGAGAAGCAAAAATAGCTCATAATACTCAGCAAAAATAATGCATGCCTTTAAACACTGGGACTGAAAGAAAGAAACCGGGTAGATTCTACAGTTGCTAATACAAATCTTCACGCACAGCTCTTTCCCTTGGCCCAAACGCAAGATCCCTTTAAGAACACTGAATGCCTTGGTCCAAATAGAAAACACAAATCCCTTCCCAGGTGGGAGTCAGATAACTTTGCTGTGTAACTTGGTTTTTCAAAATTAAAATTTTCATAGCCTGAAAATCTTATGTCATTCTGATAACTTTATTGTGTTATCACAATAAACTGGAACTTGAAAAATTTTCAAATTCCAGAATTTTTTTTAAAGTTTACAATAACTTATCAAGTATTATTGACTTTAGATCATGTACAGGTTACTGTCCAAGTTACTGTATAGGTCTCAGGCTGATCAAACATTTAAGAGTATTGTGCAGATAACTGTCGAAAAGAACTTAAGAAACTGAACTTTAATAGCCCAGGAAGTATACAAGTTTATCTGAGACAAATTCATTTTAAAAAGGGCAGAGTTGGGTAAATTCTTGAAAAATTATAGGATTTGTGCAATGCTTGGGTATCTGCTTGCTGAAAACCACTACGCTAGACTAGAACAATATATTAACAAAAACACATGTCTGATAGCACAACTGTACTTAGAATAATAAAGGGCCCTATCAAATCAGTAAAAAATATATGAAAAAATAAAAACAAAAGTTCTGAGTAGAAACTTAACTACAAGAGATATAAAGATGTAAAAATGCACATAAAAAGATGCTTATCATCATAAGTCACTAGGGAAATACAGATTTAAAAGAAAACGAGAAAATACTACAACTTTATTGTGATGATTGAAACCCGCAAATCTGACAATGTTGAGGATGCCGAATGAGGGAAACTCTTATAGATTGTTGGAAAGAATAGGAAATGATACAGCCACTTTGGAAAACATTTGGCAATTTCTCAAAGGTTAAACATGTACCTAACAGGCCTCCTAAAGTATTGACCCCATTGTCTTGGTAGTTACAACTATGTGGAAGTAATTGCCTAAAAATGGAAAGACCCTAACTGTCCTTTAGCCAGTGAATGGATAAATCAAATGTTGTATATATGTACAATGGACTGCTTCTCAGAAATAAAAAGGAATGAGCCACTTTGATATGGAAAACAGTACAGAAGTTCCTCAGAAAATTGAGAATAAAAGTACTCCTATATAATCCAGCAGTCCCACTTCAATTCTGCATCCAAAAGAATTGAAAACAGAATTCAAAAAGAATTTGCTCATTCATGTTCATTGCAGCACTATTCACAAAAGCCAAGAAGTGGAAGATAGCTAAATGTTCTTCAACAGATGAATGGACAAAGAAAATGTTACTTTTCTTTGTTATCGTATGCATATGCATACGATAACACACTATTCAGTCTTAGAAGGAAGGGAATATTATCTGTCATATGCTATAACATGGGTAACCTTGAGAACATTAGGCTAAGTTAAAGAAGCTAGTCACACAAACACACACACACACACGCCAAATTGCATAATTCCACTGATATGATGGCGATTACAGGCATGTATGTACTATCGTGGGAGGCAGCCCTAAAGAAGTTGAACTCTTAAAGACAGAAAGTAGGATGGTGTTTGCCAAGGGAAGGAGGAAAGAAGAAAGGAAAGTTGTTGTTCAATGGATATTGAACTTCAGTTTTGCAAGAAGAAAAAGTTCTAGAGATCTGGCACCACAGATATATATAGTTCTCACTACAATACTATATACTTAAAAATGGATAAGATGATACATTTTACATGTTTTTAACCCAATATAAAAAAGACTGAACTGCTGATACATTAATACTGCTGTAGAGCAACACGGGTGCCTCCCAAATGCATTATGTTAAGTGAAAGGGAAGAATCACAAGGCTACTGACTGTATCATTCCATTTATATGCCATTCCAGGGCAGAAAAAAAATCAAACCCAAACTATAGAGACAGAAAACAAATCAGCGATTTCCAGGTCCCAGGTACAGGGTAAAACTGACTATAAAAGGAGACAAAGAAAATTTGGGGGTGATAGAATTGTTCTATATTCTGATTTTGGTGACTGTGATGACAAATTGCTTGCATTTGTTAAAACTTGAACTATACACTAAAAAGGGTGAGCAGTAGGTAAATGGCACAATGATGATGGCATTAATAAAACCCAGGAAGTAAGGAATTGCCAGATGGTGGGAAAGAATTTGATTTTGAACATAATAAACTCATGATGCTGATGATGACATCCAGAGAGAGAGGGTCAAAGGTGATTGTTGATGGGAACGGCTATAATTATTGAGTGAATTTGGCCACTGAAGACAAAAGTCCTGAGGGAAAGCTTCATCCAGAGGATGAGAAAAGGATAAAGAAAATGCAGATGGAGAAGAAGAAGATGGAGAAAAAACAGACGGTGCAGTGTCCAGAAACTGAAAGAAGAGGAAATTTCAAGAAGGAAGGGATGTTGGATAGTGCTAAATGCTTCTGAAAGATGAGGCAGGATGGAGGCTGAGAAAAGACAGATAGATTGAGCAAGTGAGGAGTCAATATAGACTTTAATGAAAGAACTGATGCTAAGTATGATATACTGCACAATGCTGCGTATGAGTGATTACAATCATACCTAATTTTGTTTGGAATGGTCTTAAAGATACTGAGTATATCTGAACTCCACTTGGGTATTTGCTAGAAAGACAATCTTTCTATAAACAGACAAGCTTTACTTGTAGGTCTCAGCATACATAGAACTTATTACATGCTTTTGGAAATATTCTGTGTCAACATTCAAAAGACTGTACTGTCTTTGAAATGAAATTTTGTGTAAACTTATCCATGTTATCAAAAACCATTTGCCAAAGGAGCATTGTGTGTGAAATACTCAGGTTCAACCTTTATGTAGTACAATATAGCATCTTTCAGTGAAAGGGAGGGAGAAATAGCACTGTTATATCTGCAGAAGAGAAGTTTCCAGTCAAGTATCTGAGTGACTGTTGCTATGTGAGAAGTGATTGTCACCACGGTTGTGTGTGTTTGTTGAGGAGATGGTAGCAGTGGTATGTACGTCGTATTGCCAAAAAGCTCAGGATCCCAACTACTGCCTCAAACATCCAAATTTTCAGTAGGTTCTTCTATTTACAACTTTATTTTCGTGCTAGAGAATGGCTCTCTTTGCTGGTATATAATTTATAGATCATAAAATTCACTGGTTTTAAGTATATAGTTAATGATGTTGAATAAATTTACATAGTTTATAGCTACAATTGCAATACAATTTTAGTTCACCATTGAAACTCCAGACAATTCCTTCATAACCATTTGTAGTCAGTCCTTACTCCTGTCCTTAGCTCCAGGCAACCACTGATCTGTTCTCTGTCTCTATAGTTCTATCTCTTTCTAGAAATTTCATATAAATGGAGTCATTCAATACATAATCTTTGTGTTTGTCTTCTTTTGCTTAACATGTTTGTGAAGTTTTTCCATGTTGTGGTTCCTTTACCTTGTCAAATGACATTATTTCATTATGTAGATAAATCATATTTTGTCCATCCATTCACCACTTGATGGACAGTAGGACTGCTTCTGGGTTTTGGCTGTTAATATTACTACTGTGGTTGTTCACATGGAAGTCTTCATGGGCATGTTTTCATTTCATGTGCTTATTAACTAGCAACTCACATATCTCTTTGGTAAAATGTCTATTCAAATCTTTTGCCTCTTTTTAACAATTGAGCTTTTTTTGTCGTCTTGTTATTGAGTTATAAGATCTGGCTCCAGTTCTTATCCACAGACTGGAAATCAAGCCTGAATGAGTAGTGTATTCTTTGAAGATTGGTTAATTCTCTCTACCTTAAGCATTAACCTGCCGCCTTTGTCAACATGTCCCTAGTTTCCCTCTCTAGCACTCACTATTTTATTTCTTCCAGAATCCTTCACCATCAAAATTCCAGTTATTAACCTCTACCATGCATGTCACTTTCTCTTCTCAATCATTTTTTCCTTCTTCTTTTTTTTTAGTATTGGGGTTTGAACTCATGAACTTGTACTTGCTAGGTCTTCTCAATCTTATATATCCAGAAGTGCCATTACTGCTCTATGACCTTTGACACACTTATTTACTGAAAACAAATTGCTAGTCACCTCAACTTACTCTCTGATGTTTCCTCCACCTTTTGATTGGAACAGAAACTTGCTTTTCACTGGAAGACCACAATTTCTTTGACTCACCAATTGAGGCCACACCTTTTTCTCTTGCTGACTCATAAGGAGGAGAGTGAGATGACTTCTCCCTTCCCAGTATCCCAGTCAGTTCCCTAGCCTTGTCATCTCTCAACAACTGCCAACCCTTCTTTTCTGAACTTCATACCCTCTATAAACATCATTTCTTCCCACTTGGAGTGCTCATACCACAGATTTACACTTTTTCCTTTCAGTTGCTACCTTGAAGGATGGAAACACCAAATGTTTCTCAACCTCCAGACATCACAGTTGCCTTGGCTTATTACATGTGAGTAGAATAAATACACACTCCCTTCCAATCAATATGCAGGCCCCTTAGCACACTCTCAACCTTCAAATCACTCCAGTCCTCAGCTTCCAAGAGCCTCAGTACAGTGAGAAGCAGTGGACCTGTTCACTGTCCCATTTTCTTCTTGAAACTTTTTCTACCCCTGGTTTTCATGGTAGTCTCTTCTCTTGGGTCTCCAGCCTCTCTGTTCTTCTCCTTCACTTAATAGGTGTAGGTTCTTCCGAATAATTGCTTTTAGACTCTTAAAAGCATATTCCCAGGCTTGACCTCTGCTATGTGATAGTATTTGGTGATGGGGCCTTTAAGAGGTAATTAGTGGTTGGGAATGTAGTTTTCAGCATATGCTTCAGTCTACAAATGTTTTTGAATAACAAGTGAATTTATGAAAATACACCATGGGTACCTATGACAATCAGTTACAGTTTTACATACGAAGATAAATGACATTAGTGGTGTTGAATATTTTTTAAAAATTACATTGTCATACAACTGTAGGTATAAAAGAAAAGAAGGAGAATTTGAAGTTTGATTGATACATTACCACATCTGATTTGGTGGTAAATTTTTGAGTTTGCAAGCTTTCCAAAGCCATCCACTTCACTGGCAGCTTTGCACCTGTCTTATTATGTACACTATAGTACTCTTTATCATACATATCTCTAGCAAGACCAAAATCAGCAACCTTGACAGTGAATTTTTCATCCAACCTACAGAAAGGACAAAAATTATTATTGGTGACTGAAAGAGTAATTTATAACGGTTTGTATTGACAAATCAGAACAAGTGTCTTCAGTGTTTGAAATCCGTAACTTCTGAAGCCAGTGCTTTCCCTGGCTTATTGACTAACACTAAATTACAGTGGAATTCTTGAATAAAAATGCTTGACATTTACATTACAAATTCAACAGGCTGAGGAGAGACATCATGAATGATATGGCATATGAAAACCCTTTGGTTGCAAAATAGAGCATGTACACTGACTGCCCGAGGCAATCCCCAATCTCCATCGCCATTAGCAGAAGTCAGTTCCATGAGAGTGACATGACATGGGACAGCTATTGTACTTTTTCATTTTCAAATAGGTTAGGTCAGTACATAAAACTCATCTATCCTGCCACTGAGGGTAGTAGGATATAGTCAAGCATCTAAACAAGAAAAGTCTGGTTCAAAAAATCATTTTCAGCTAAGTAAAGCTATGCATCCTTTGTTTAAGCTAGCTTAAACAATGACCAAAACCAAGGTAGAAAATTAATATCATCAGCTCTTTCATTCACACATATCATAAGTCATGAATCAGTGCTATGCAAGCAAAAGCAGTGAATCAATTACAAACTGTTGACTGTTGTGTTATATAGCCAGGCAGCCAGACACAAATAAAAGTTCTTTGTATATTCATTCTCAATTACCATTTTTGGTAGGGCTTCTGCAAGCTGATTTCAAATCGACTCTTGGAAAATTACACACATTGTTATTTGTGTGACCAGCCCTCTCCTTTTCTCTATAAAATGCTAAAGATCAAATTCTCCCTCCCAAATACTAATATAGTATGAAACCATAATATTGAGGGCTATGGGTGGGAATGACCAAGAAAAGCAAAAGTACTCAACAGCTGTTTAAGACCCCAATAGAGCAACCTTTTAAATTCTTTGATCCAGAAAGCCTGAAAGCCCTGCCCACATCCCTGGGGCTTACACTCAACTATTTAAAACACTAAAGGAAATAAAGGAGTTTTGCATAAGAACAGAAAACATCCTCATTAGCAATGAATAGTGAGAAACTCACAGAGATTCTTATACTTACATACAGTTTCTTGCAGCCAAGTCTCTGTGGACAAACTTTTTGCTTGCAAGATATTTCATGCCTTTGGCCACTTGAAGACCAAAGCCTATAAGGTCTTTTACAGTTGGGTTCTGCAATTAAAAAGAGTTGGAAAGGCATGAACTGTTATAATGCTGATCTCAAAGTCCTAAAATGTTTATAAGAATTGTGTGTGGGTTTTTGGTTTTTTTTTTTGTAGACAGGGTCTTGCTTGATCCTTCTGCCTCTGCTTCTTAAGTGCTGACATTACAAGCATATATCATCACACCTGGGGAAGAATTTGTTAGGTATTGATTTTATATACAAAGTGTCAGGCTAGATGTTCTTATGAATTAGGGCTAATTCTTACACATTTCTGTAAGGCACATGTTATAAGCTCCATTTTCTAGGTGGGGAAATGGAGGTGTTATAAAATGTAGGCTTTATTATCCTTCAAGTGTGATAGGTCAACAGATCAGAAGACAATTGCCATTGAAAAGGTAGTCTGTTATAGTCTCCAAGAGGAAGTGGCATTCCATGCCATGCAGGGTTACACAGAGAAGGTCTGGATGCTGAGGCAGAGGGAGTGAGGGGAAAACATGGGCAAGAGTCTTAATCGTGGTTATATGGGAAGAAAAGTTGAGGCAGGGTAAGTAGGTTTAGGATTGGCTTCTTCAAATAATTTCGGCAGGCTCCTGGGTATAGAGCTGTCCTAACTGTCTGATACCTGGCCTTGGGTGATTAGTGTAGGTGGTTGTGGCCCAGAGTGTGAAAGCCTGATAAGGAAGGTGGCTGGGGAGTGGGCTCAGGATTGGTTGGTTTGCATATGAAAGGTGAGCTTTGATGGCAGTTTTTGACTGTCTCTAGGAGCTTATTTCATTTGAGAACTTGACCCTGATTTTAATGATTTTAATGTACCACTCGGAGGGATGGTAGAGCAAAGCTTCTGGTAATTAAGGCTCATTTCCCCAGGGTGCCCTTCCAAGTAACACTAGCTTCCTACAGGGATAGCACTTTTGCTTTTATTTTTTGTTTATTTGTTGTTTATAGTGGTGGTGATGGAAACCAGGGCCTCCCCACATGCCATGGAGGCCCTCTACTGCTAAGTTACACCCCCCAGTCCAGGATAAAAGACTTTGAAGTCCATGTGAATGTAGCCAACATTTTACCTGTGCATGTTTAGGTAATAGTTTTTTAAAAGATTGAAGCAGGTATATTTTGAAGGGACAGTGGCCTTAAAGCTAGTTCACCAGGCAGTAAGCTTGGTATTCCACTTACATGAGTCTCATTTCGAATGAAATTTCGAAGATCTCCATGCTTCATGTATGGTAGGACCACTAGTGGAGATCCTTCACTCCGAAGGCAGATTCCCAAGAGTGAGAGAACGTTAGGATGACTAAAATCCTTCATAATGATTCCTTCTGTCAGAAACTGGGAAACTTCTCCTATGTCAGTGATTCCTAAGAAAGTCAGTGGTGGAGGCATTAACTTCATTACGGAACAATGAATACACTGTCAAATTCAGATAGGAAGAGCAATGAAATAAAAATTGGAGGGTTACACTTTGTCCTGAGGCCTCAACCTCAGAGTATTCTTTTTGAATGAATGGTGTCCTGGGGCAGAAAGATGTGATCATCCTTATGATTCATGAGGGTCAGCAACACAGAGTCTTATAACTAAAGATAGGTTAACAACAGAAAAGCCTAACACTTACTTAAGCAAAGTTTTATAAGACGTGGGAGCCTTCAAAAATGAAGACCTAAGCACCTGGGAAACCTGTCTTTTTTTAATGCTTGAATTTAATGAAAAAAGGACAGCTGTGTAGAAATGTGCTACAGCATATGACTTAAAGGCAATGAATGGAGAGGAACACACTTGCTTTTGTGTGTGTGTGTGTGTGTGTGTGATTGAACCCAGGGCCTCGCATATGCTAAACAAGCACTCTATCACTGAGGTACACCCCCAGCTAAGGAGGTAATTATTTATTTATTTATTTATTTTAGTGTGGTAGTTTCTAATAATTTCCAGAGAGGGATACTGAGGGCTTGATATTAGTTAGCATTAATGAAGCATTAACAATAGTAATTTATTAGTTGACCACAGTACTGGTATTCTTTTACAAATGCAATGCATTCTGAGACCTGGAAAAGAAGATGGAAGTCAATATAAATTGAATAGCAATCAGCACACACAAAGAACAGAAAGATTTCTTGGTGTCAGGATTGTTTGGGGTACAATTGGCTGTACTGCTCTCTTGTGAGGCAAATTTACTGACCATCATACTTAATCCATACAGTTTGTTGTTAGGTTTTATGTAGACTGTTCCTTTTGTGGTTAGATTGCCAACATATAGGATGGTGCTCAGCATGAAGATTTATATTTGAAAAGGCTGAAATAGTAGTGGTAATAGTGTATCTTTTAGAAAAACCTTCCATTTGTGCATTTGAAGCTTATTAATTCTAATATAAATCTGTAATATAGCTGACTAACATTTTTCAAGCAGCTGCAACTTTTAGGTAGAAAATTAGAAGTGGGAGTGGAAAAAGCAGGCATGTCATGTGAGATCTGTCAGTAAAGATGAAGCCAGTAATACTTTAGTATGTAGCATACACTGAGTTGTACATGATCATAATTTATAGCCATAATTATCATCTGGGTCACAATAAAGATTGAGTTTATATTTAGAAGCAATCCCTGTTTCATAAACAGAGGATGCATTTAATCTTAAAAAAGATTTTCTCAATAACAGCTGAAATTTTAAGAAATATTCTAGCATGAAAAGGGGGTAAGTTTCACTTCTTTAGGAAGTTCATTTATATGGAACACCTCATTCCCCAAACATGGGATAAATGAGGTATTACCATGCTTATGACTTTTCAATTTTCTGCCAGCATATTTCTCTCCTGTTTATCTATATCATTTTTTTGATCGTGTTAATGGAAGTTGTGGTTAAAAAATAATTACAGTAATGCCTCTGGGTAAAATGAGTCATTACTACTGAATGTGCCAGCATGCTTCCAATAGTTTCCATAAATGTCATTTGCAAAACAAATATTATAAGTCCAACATAGTTAAATGATACAGAGTTCATCCAAGAACCTTATTTCTCCTACACTCTTACTTATGAGGTCTCTGAGATAATTTCAGAGGGACTATGTCAATAAGAGTTTAGACCAAACAAATTGTCAGGATTATAGTCATAATTTCAGCAGTAGCCCAATTTTTTTTCCACAAGGAAAAGTGTAAACCAGTATTTTGTTAGATATCTATTAGTTTGCAAACCACAATAGTTGTCCTTCACTCTTGAGTAAAATGTAACTTACTATTCAAGGATTTCACAGCACAGTGAATTTTCTTGCCATCATTGTCCAACAAAGTCCCGTGATAGACACAACCAAAATGTCCTGTGTGAAAGAAGGAACTTGGTTAGGGATGTATAATGTTTAATATGCAGTAATTACTTATTAAGCTCCTCTTTTTCAATGTGGCCAAAAAGGTGAACTGATTTTGATTAGCAATACCATTAAATGTATGGTGTGTATATGTGTGTGTGTGTGTGTAGTACATTTTTCTTCAGAACATAATCAATATATCTAATAAATGGCAAAGCTGTAGGTGATATGGCTGCTATTAAAGGCTAATTTAATAAAACAATAAATCATAGCAAAACTACTGAAAACAGGAATAGCATCTGTACAAAATAAATTTATTTTTAATGGTTTAATTATATTTAAAAATATGAAAATATAAGTTTAATCCACATGAACAAATGTAGTAAAATAAGTCCCTATACTTCGGTAAACTGAAGTGAAATAATGTCACCAAATCAGAAATCACTTTCAGTATCCCCTGCTAGATACTGACTGTTTTATCAAGTATTAAGTGTAAAACTTTTAATTCACAATTAGTATAACTGTGGATAGCTTCTGATTTTGCTTTTAGTTCTGTGGAATGTGTTTAAGCAATGGAAAAGTATGTTTCTGATTTTGAGATATTAAGTGGTATTGCACAGTTGTCACTTTACTGAATGTGTACAACAGTCCCATGAAGTTTATAAGTATATCCTTGTATAGCTTCAGGTGCTAGAATTAAAATTGATCTGTTATCACACACAAAAAATAATGTTACCATTAGAAATAAGAATAAGGATTATAGAATCCTTATAGAATAAGGATTTTCCCCATTAGTCACTGGTTAATATGTAAGCCAGGTTGGCAGAAATTAAAAGGCAGTTAGTTGCCTAAATGAAGCACATTCACTCTGACTCATTTCATGCATTTCCCTCTGGCTTTAACCACATCATTTTCCCAATGGTAGCCTTTCATCCAGGGCAGTAATTTTTCCCAGAGGTGCCAAATGTCTGATAGCTGTGTAAGTCATTTAATTAATTCACCCAGTGAGCCAAAATGTCCTGGCTGCCTAGTATGTGAGGGTCAGGCATTAGGCTGCCTTTTTGTAACCCAACAGTGAATAAAATAAAACCCATGCTATGAGTGCTCACACTCTCCAGGAGAAACACACACAAATAGTTTCTAGACTATTAATGATTGTTATTTCAACAGAGAAAAAACTGCCATTTTAGCACCTCTGGTGATTAAAAAAAAAAGTTCTAATTTTACAGCAGGGGTAGAATTAGAACATAATTATCGTGGCTACCCACTCAAAAGTTGGTACAATTACTGGATTTTATAGATTGATAATATAACTATATATTACTGTGATGTAAGACATGGAAACATGTTTGTGAGCAGTGAAGCTGCTCTTAGAAAAGGAGCAGTGTGCTGAAGGTTAAACTGTGGAGGGTGTGATAGAGGCATGTGTGGATATTGTCACAGAACGATGAGAAGGCTTCGTGTTCATATAAGGCAACAATCTCGTCCATTTCTCCTGCCTCGCGCTGCCAGATGCCTGCACAACTCTTGCAGCATACATAGACTAAAAGGGAACCAAGACCGTGCATTATGAAGGGTAAAATGATTTTAGGAAACAACCACCACAACAAAGAGTGGAGTTCATTTTTTGGCTTCTGGTTGGTTTCCTTTTTTTTTTTTTTTTTTTGTCAAATATTTCCTCAAATACTGTTTATGCTAGCTGTTACTGCTGCCCTGGCTAGCTTATTGCAAATATTCATTCCTCTTTGTATAACAAAATTGGAGTGCATTGTAGAGATGATGTATGTTGTTTCAGATCAGGGAAATGCTATAAATTCCCTGTCTTCAGATGCTGCCCAGAGAGCACCAAACTGCCTTATAAACCAGGGCTTTGTAGAGTTCATCACTGTTCTCAGGATAAAGACTGAAGGAGGACATAAGCGAAAATACTGAACTTTAGAGGAAGTAAATGGCACCTTCCAAAGAGAGACAGATGCCAGTGTGAGGAAGACAAAGAAGGAATGTGATTTATTTCTAGAGTGTTTGAGAAGGTATCCAGTTGCCTGCATTCATGAGGGCAAGTCCCCATGGATATGATTTGCATTTCTGCAGAACAGAAATCAAGCCTACTCATTATCAGTGTTCAGTCAGGTCAGTTGCCTTTACCATTGTCTAAGTTCCTAATCTTCAAAGGCAGAAGATAAAATGCTCACTGGAAAAATGAAATTTAACAGAAAGCTGAGTGGAAACACTTACCTCTTCCTATGACTTCATTGAAATGCACAATAAGGCTACTGGGCCCAATCACTACGTGCTGGACTGCTTGGACCAGCTCTGGATTTAGAGCGCTGAGGTCAATGTGGACAGTATTTTGCAGTAATGGACTAGATATATCAGAGTCCCCACTATTTAGGATGGGGGACAGGTCTGTCAGAGGATACTGCACTTGTCTGCACGAGCCATTCTGAGAGGCATTAGGAAACTGGTCTGCAAGATAAAGCAAAGAGAGAACAAGAGTGGAACGTCACTTAATGGGGACCACATAGGGCAGAAAACTGAATTACTAGGGAAGCTTGGATTTTAACATTAAAGAAATTATGGTTACACCACTGAATGAGGCTGGGAATAGCCATTACACAGTAACGGGTTTGCAAAAAATGGTAATAAATTGGGGAAAGATAGTGGCTTACCATATAAGTGTTTTATAAAATGTTCACAAATTTTAAGTAAAGTGTTAACTTTGAAAACTTGTCTACACTTTTCACTTCCTTATGTATTTCAGGTTTCATTAATAGCAAAATGCCAAGCTTGAAGTTTATTTTTGAATATATTATATCCTTAAGAATGGGAAGCAGCAAACACAGAGACTAAGCAAATTTCTGATTTTATAAAAATCTGCTCAAATATTAGAAAATGGAAAAAGATGCGTTTTGAGAGATTTGTGTTTATTAATGGAAATAATTAGCATTAGGAAAAACCTATATTGATTCCAGGACAAGCAAAATACATATAGTTAAATATATATAAATATACACAGGTTGAGTAACCTTTATTTAAAATGATTGTGACTGAAAGTGTTTCAGATTTTGAATTGTTTCAGCCTTTTAGAATTTTTGCATAGATTTTACTGGTTGAGCATTCCTGATCAGAAAATATGAAATCTGAAATGCTCCAAAGTCCAAAGTTTTTTGAGTGCTGACATGATGCTCAACAGGTTTTTGGATTTTGAAGTATTTTTGGTTTCCTATTTTTTGGGTCAGGGATGCTCAACCCCTATACATAATCATAGAAACATATGATAATATATAATCATTAGAACTACATAATGGCTACATTTTTCAGAACTGAAAACTTTTCACTTCACTGGGAAATTCTCCACCTTGTGGTGCTGGCCACAGATTGAGGGTTATTATTGCTTAGAGCAGGCAGTTTGCACCTGGGTTAGCATGCCTCCCCCACTTGGACAGGAGAGCACTTGGACAGAAGTCAGTGTTCCTTGTAAGCCAATTTTTACAATCAAAGTTCTATAAGAGCTTTAGTCCACTTCCCTTTTGCAAGGAGAAGGTTTTTGTTTGTTTTCATTTTCATTTCAAGGTTAAGGAATTATGGTGCTGAGAGTGTTTCTTAATGCCAAATGAGGCAGAAAAGCCATCAGCTGCTTTGTTCTTTCCTCTGGAATCTATACACATCAAGCAGGGTCCCCATAATCACAGCACCTGACTGGAAGATAAACATAGTGGCAGATATTGAAGCATAATTATAACATGAGAAGAGGGATATGTGGGCGTTTCTACTGGCAACAACAGATAATTGTTTGCAAATCAGCAAGAGAATCAGAATTTAAGAGAAGAAAACTGATGGTATCTTGACTATTTCTAATTCCACCTAAGCATTTTTAGTATTTTCTACAGTGGATAGTGTGGTTAATAATATATACCTGGTCAAAGCAGTAAATCTCAAACATGGTTCCAGAAAAGCAGTGGGGGCCACTAACAATCATTATAATCAGTAGCTGAAAATAAGACAGATGTAACTTTACAGGAAGGATCTGAAACATTCAGGAAGTACCTGAAATGTTGGGTGGGTAAAGAAAGGAGGAAGCCTACTTTGGTGCCTGCTCCTTTAATCCTAAGGAATCAGGTTTTCCAAACCTTCCCTGGGGAATCAAAAATGTAAACGAGCCTCTCTGAGCTCAAAACCTTCATCTTCACTTTCCAAACCTTTGTACCCAGAGATCAGAGTTATAAATTGTCAGACGGGCAAAGATTAAGGGAAATCCTTTGTAATATACAGGACAAAAGTCCTCTGGAAGGGAAATTCTTCTGACCTACTTTACAGATGCTAATTTAGACCATCTGTACATGACCCAGATGTAACACCACAGAGAATTCTGGGTCTCATCGAAAAGTCTGACCCACTACCTATAGAGAGAAAAGCTCTGCAGTTGCCTCTTGGTTGGGCTGTGCATTCCCTTATTCTTCCCTCTGCATGACCCACTGTTGCCTGTTTCACCTTTCCACACTAAAAATAAGCAGAAGGAAGAAGCTAAGCTTTCTTAGCCAGAATAACAGATTTGCTGAGTAAGGAATTTGAAAGATTAGGAAAGCCTTTAAAAAATTATTATAGTTTTTATTTATTTATCTCAGGTTAGAGCTATTAAATATGAACATAAAATACTGAAATTAGATCTGAATTTCAAAACTATAAACTAGGTTTGATTTTTCCGTATTATTAAAAGAATGGATTTCTAAAGGCAAACAGAATCATATGAACAAAGACAATAATCTCAACAAGTGTTGAAAAAGTTAAAATGCACGGTGCCTCATTGCTCTTGTGCTTGTTTGGAGGAGCAACTTCTAACTTTCCAGTATCCACAAGTGTCTGTGACTCACTTTATTTGTCCAATGGTAAATATTCAACCAGGGAAATGCTTGTACTTGACTCACGTCCTGTAAGTTCTAAAGATAATGGAGCTGATACAACACAGACATTTTGCTTTGACCAGTAGATTTTTAAATAAAACAATGCAAGCCTTGGGTGAACCTGGCCAATATTATTAGTCCTACTGTTTTGCAAAGCAGATGAGATTTAATAGCATATTGGGATAAGACTCAAAATATATTCAGGTCCTGGAATGTTTTAGGTAAAAGGCTATGTTCATTGAGAATGCTTCAAAAATATTTGGGATTCAACAGGTAAAACATGTAGCATTTCCATATTTAAGTAAAAACATATTTTGTAACTTAACTCTTCCTGAGATGCTAAAGAAAGCTCCCTAAGTTCTCAGCATTGCATTCAGATAATAAACAAGCTACTTTGACAAAAAGGATTTTAAAATTAATTTTTTTTGTGAGAAGAGAGCTTACAGACACTAAAGTTACAATATATACATGAGTTCATTTAAAAATAAGAGATATGTAATTCTGTGTCAAATAATTGCTTCTTTGGGAGAGGTAAATGATTTTCTATTTTTATAAAAGTATCAATGGAAAACCAAAATGAAATAACATGGCCATAACCCATGGTAGTGTATAAATAGGTATTTCTCAGAACAATAAACTGAAATATACCTTCAGGAAAAGTAGCACGGTAGTCTACAGATTCATTTGAAACCATTTCTGTAGTTGGACTTACACTTCGGGCACTTACAAGCCTATCCAAATGAGGTGTGTGTACTCTTGCATCATAGTGAACTAAGTCACTGCCCAGATCTTAAAACAGAGAGAAAGAAAAAGCTTGTTAAAGATTTGGCTACCTTGGGTTCCAGTAGGCTTTGACCCAGTGCCCAGAACTCACAGCTTTTATAATTGCATATAAGACAGCACATATGCGTCTATGACAATGTTAAACTGCAATGACTGTATCCTTAAGGTAACTTCTTCAAACAAACAGTAACAAAAAAATGCACCTTTAATTTGCTTTCTCTTTTTCAGCCACAGGAAAAGCCCGAGTAATAATAAGAGTATTGTTGATATTGAGACAACACCAACAATCAATCCTGTGAAATTTTGATCTGGTTGAACTATTACTTTTCCAAGGACAGTTGAAGAGACTGCTTGCTTCCACTAGAAATAACAAATAAAGAAAAGTCACAATTTGGCTATGATAGATAGAAGATATACTATGCAGGGGGAATCACAATTTCTCTGGGCCCCAAGACACCACCTGGTCATCACCCCTATGGAAGTGGCAATAACCACTTTTATAGTAGTAAGGGATTTCTGAAATTCTGCTTCAGTACTGATCTCAAAGTACTTCTATGATATGTTTATGCTTCTAGTTAGGTATTAGGAGCAAAGAGAATAAAAACCAGTCTCTGATCTTGAGGAACTGAGGTATATTAGTACATAAGTAATATAAAAGTAATATAATGTGAAATGTACCAGAGAAATATGAATAAATAGTAAGAAACTAATTCTGCCCCATGAAGGAGGGAAGAATGGATAGCAGAGAAGACTTTTCATAAGAGGTAAATAATCATATTATTATTTGACAAGTCTCAGAATATTTTCATTTGTTTTGATACATAAAGAAATCTTTGAGGTCTCTTCTACCTCTAATGTTCTGTGATTTTTAAGATTCATGGTCATTCTGAAATTCCAATTCTGATCTCATAATTCAGTCTCCAGTAATCTAAATTTTTGTACATTTCCATTTCATAATTTTTAGAAGACTTCAAGAACCCTTTAAAGACCATTTATTCTTGGATAAACAAAATATACATAATGAAATATTACTTGGTTATAAAAAGGAATGAAGTTATTGATATATGGTCACAACAAAATGAACCCTGAAAACATTTTGCTAAGTAAAATGAGCCAGCTGCAAAATAAGAAATATTATATGATTGCACTTATATGGAATATCATAGAGGCAGAAAGTAGATTACCAGGGGCTGGGGGAGAGAAGGGGTTATGGAGTTATTGCTTAGTGGTTACATGGCTTTTCTTGGGGCAATGAGAAAGTTTCGGAGTTAGACAGTGGTGATGGTTACACAACATTAGGAATCCAATTCATGCCACTGAATTATATATTCAAACATGTCTAAACTTGCAAATTTTATGTTATATGTATTTTATCACAATTTAAAGAAATTAATGATGCAATATTGTACCAAACTCATCAAACTACATACTTTAAATGGGTGAATTGCATGGTGTATGAGTTCTATTGCGATAAAGCTGTTAAAAATATTGAAAAAATCATTCTGGTTCTAGGTTATTTGGTTTAGCTGTCTACATGAGAGAAGTTACTACAAAATGGTATAATCCTTACTTTACTCTGTCCAGCAGATATTTCTTCTTTTATTTACATTTGTGATCACTGTACTGGGCAGTGAGACACTGGCTCTGGCCTCTTAGACTGGTGAGAGGCAGGGGAAGGGACACTCTTAGATGTGTCCTTATTCCTTCTGAGAATTACAACAAATTTTGGCATGATGGAGGGGTAGTGTGGGGAGAAAGGACTTTTGAGACTATCCTCCTTAGCCTGGAGAAGGAGATAGTGCTTCAAAACAAACTCACTATTTCTAAAATAACAAGTAGGAATTGAGGCTGAGCTGATGAGCCAAAGCCAACACACAAATGAGCTTTAATGATTTATTTTAAGCCTACGAGTGACATAATTACACTGGCATCCTTATTTACATCATGAGAGGAATGTAGGAACCCCACCTCTATATTTAGCTCGCTGTTCAATTTCAGCAGGTCATTGGGGACCCTACATAAAACGGCTTCAGAATGTGAGTATATATTCTCACAGCTCTTATTTCCAACTTTTAACACTTCACCTTTAACTGCTTCAGGGTCAATATCATTTCCCTGAAGGAAAAAAAAGAAAGAGAGAGAGAGAGAGATTGTTAACACTGCACGGTTCTGAAGGAATGTTAACATTTGAGAAGGAATATGAATACACTATAAATACAGACCACATCATTTGTCAAAGCGTGTGATTTTATGACACTCATTTTCATGAGAATTGGGATGGCTGAAAGGGGGCAGAACTATTTCAGAGCATCAATTAGTCAGGAATTAGGATAAAGCTTTTCCAGCAAATTAGATTTTAGAGAAAAGGAAACAGAATGTTATTTTATATCCTTACATTGAATAGCATCTTATCCATAATCACCTTATTGTTTTGAGGGGGTATTGATGTTTGGCAAGAAGAAAGCAGTTTAGATATTCGGTTTTTGCGACAACTCAGTTAGGTTGAGAACACTGCCTAATACATGATTCTCAACCTCAGCTTTACTTTTAGAATCATACTGAAAGCTCTAGCAAATAACTAATGCCTAAGCCCAATCTCTAGAGATGTGGTGTCCTTCTCTATGTCAATACATTCCTATTCTATTTGAATTGGGCAGGTTCTTTTCATCCTTCTTGCATATTTGCATCCTATACATATATGAATTAATTTTCAAAGAAATTCCCCAAGGATGTCATATGACCTTCATTAGGATTTGAGAGCACGATTACATTATTTTGAACAGTTATATTGTTACATGAAGATTTTAAAAATTACTCAATTTGACATATTTACTTAACTGAAGTTACCATCAGGAATTTTTAAAACATCAATGTTTTGTCAAGGAATCAATCACTATCTGTGGGAACAAAGTGCAAAAAAGCCAAGTTCTCATATCAAGACTTAATGAGTAGTTATTTATTATACAAGCCATTACTTTGAGATTTTTTAAAGATCTGTCAAAGCCTATTGCTATTTTTCTTATGGACAAAGCACAGCTAGTAATAACTATAGCATTGCTACTCTGTTCTATACCCTCTAATAGTTAGCAAGCTGCTTTCCCATAAATGTCTCATATGGATCTCAACAGATTGGTAGATCAGATATTATTCTAGGAAAAGAAGCTGGAAGAAGAGACTGCTTTCTACCATGAAGCTGCAATCTGAGAAAAAATGAACACAGATAACCTTTATACTCATGATATTTCTAGAGGTGGTATGAGCAATCCATTGATCCAGGTCATCACACAGGGCAATTCTACATAGAAGCACATAAATCTAGCAGGTCACTTTGGGGCTTCAAATGACAACTTGTTGGTTAGGTTTGAGGAGGGCTAAGGCCCTTACTCACAAATTGGAGGGAATTCAGAGAATGACAGAGAAAGGAGATTAAAGAGCTGGAGGGCTTGATTTATGAGAGGAGGACTAAAATGTATCTTGCTTGCTTAGATAATAACTAAGGGTGGGGGAAGGGATGGTCACACTGCTTTTATATTTCCAATATTCATTCTTTTAGGCTTAGGATCTCCTTGGATCCTAAAACAAAAGCAGATTGTACAGCTGAAGGACTGAGTCCCTTTCACATCCACTCACCAAGGAATACATGATGAGCACTGACTTTTAGAATAAATTACGACCAGCTTTGTATATGTAATTGTTTTAAAGGTCGAAAAGTATAGATATCACAAAAGTGGTACTGGCAGCCCAGGACTATATGAGAGGAAACTGATTTCAAATCAGGAAAAATAAAAATAGGTATAGGCTAATTTTTGTCTTTTAAAGTAACTGTAGTTTTGTTGAGCTGTGGAAAAATATGTTTAGAACTTTTATTATTACATTTTACTATTTATTACTGATTATCAATTATTATAAAATAGAAGAACACATTTACAAGGTCAGCTCAGTTCTTCAGTCGTTAAAATCATAAAATATTGGCATTTAAATAAAGCAGCGTAAGAGGGAACTTTCTGATCTTTAATCCTTTATATACATAAAACAATTTAGAGTTATAATTATCTCACTTTATCCTGCAAAGACAGCCCCCTGCAGTAATACTGTTAGTCCTGCTTTACATACAGAGAACTAAGGTTCAAGAAAGGAGTAGGTCTTAAGTAAATCAAATTTTGTTTGATACAAAATCTCCTCATCATCTACTATGTGTTAGACCCAGTTTTAGTCACTGAGAACACACAGATGAATAAGAGTGTCTTCCTCTCACTGTAATGTTAAAATGGATGCATTTCCAGAGTGGGAACCAAAGACTCCTAGTATGTCACATTAAGGTGTGCCTTGTCCTTTTCTTCTCTAACTCTGGCCAGGTGTCCCACAGGGTTTCTAGCCAGGATTCATGCCTGGGGATGCAACATGTTTGAAATGACAACAGAATAGAGCAGATGGGAATAGAAGTGGGTAGGATTTGGAAAACAGCATTGAAATAAAAAGGATTATGCAAGTTTTCATAGTGAGGTGGCAACAAAGCCAATTTAAGAAAGTCAGCAAAAGCAGTGAGATATAGGTTGGACCCTGTCAAGCAGTGTTCCAATCCAGGGAAGCTGGCAGCAGAGAATCAGTGAGTTATTGTGTATGTGTGTGTGGAAGAATGAGGTTTACACTTCACCTAATATGAGCCCTTTTGCTTAGAATCCAGGCCAAAGAACTGTCTCAGAAAGCTTCAAAACAGACTTCAAAAAGATGTAAATGGGCAATTTTCCTGGACATTTGAGAAAAGTTGGGCAGACCAAATGGTCTTCACTGGCTACCTGGAGATCTTTGCCATTTTCTTACTTAGAAGACCATACTATTAGGCCCTATGGAACCAAAAATACTGTCTGCCTACCTTGGGGTTTTTGTTTTTTTTTTTTCATAGAATACCTGTTAATGTGTGCAGCACCGGGAAATACTATTTAAGAGTGTGCACCATTCAACAAGAATAAGTCTTGATGCTAGCCAAATCACCTCTGAGGAAAGAACCTTTCCCTTCCCTTCTGTTTGGGGTGGGAACTGGCCTCAGGGTAGCTGTAACTGGGATAGGACCTACAGGCACAGGTAAATTAGAGGAGGGAAGAAGACATCCTTTAGCTAGCTCTGGACAACAGGTAGATTGGGCTGGCCCAGAATGACACTTCCTTCTGGATGTTTTTAGTGTCCAGTCATTGATGCCTGGCCTCTCCCTGAGCTCCCAACATTTGTTCTTGTGTTCAGTGTCACACCTGAGTCCTGGCTCTGTGCTCTCTCCTTTAGCTCATCTCCCTGTCCCCTTTTTCTGGACAGGACTTTGGAACCATGTCTGTTACCACAAATGCCTATGTGCTCCAGGATAAGACAACCCCCAGGACAGTGTCAGGAAGTCATTCCAGTACTAACCGCTATACTTCTCTACTTTCCACAGAACATAGTCATGCACAGAAAGTCAGATAATAAGATAATTGAGGGAAAATATAAAGTTTCTTTAAACAAAATCAAGTTTCAGATGTCTCTAAAAGTTTAAAGCTATTTCACTTAAAGAATTGTACAGATATTTACATACCACATGACAGAAAAGTTAAGTATTTTGGTATTTATTAAATGAAAGTTAGTATGAGAAGCATTATAATTCAGTGGAATTTGGACTCAACAAGCTTGAATGTGAGCCCTAGTTGGGTTGTTTCCTCCCTGGGGGACCTCCAAGACAAGTATCTAATCTTTCTAAACCTGTTTATTTTATCTATAAATGGAGATCATTACTGACCTTTCAACCTCATAGGTCCAAGTAAGACTCAAATGAAATAACAGGCATCAAAGTACTTGTAAAATTCCTTATGAATTCATTATGTAAGCTGTCATTGATAGGAGCCTTTGTCCTACTGTGTATTCTCAAAGAGGTGTCTACTTCTGATGACCACTGTCCACAACTGGGTTTGGTGACCTCAAAGCCTTGGTCATGAACTGCCTCCTATATCCACAGGATTTCTGATTCATTCTGAGGAATGGCTGATCTTTGGTCCCTTTTATGTTCTCCCTAACTTGCCTGGCCCCTTTGCCCATGGTATAGTGATTGGGCCAAGTGATCACTGAGACAGCTCTCAGAACTGTGGCTGGAAATGATCACAATCCCTTTTTTAGTCAAGGAATTCTTACAGGTTTAGTGACTCACTACTGAAATCCCAGTTAATTGGGTGGCAGAGATGGGGAGGACCAAGGTTGGAGGACAACCTGGGTAAAAGCTAGTGAAACCCCATCTCAACCAATAAAGCTGGGCGTGGTGGTATGCACCTACCATCCTAGCTATCCGGGAAGTATAGATAGGAGGATTATGGTCCGGGTTGGCTGGGAGTGGTGAGAGAGGAGGGGGGAAGGTGAGACACTATTCTGAAAAATAACTAATGCAAAAAGGGCTGGCGGCCTGGATCACCTGTGTGGTAGACTGTCTGCTTAGCAAGCACAGGGCCCTGAGTTCAAATTCTAGTACTGCCACAAGAAAAACCGTAGTACCACCAAAATACCAAACCAAAACAAACAATCCCACCAAACAACCAAAACAAATAAACAAAAATCCTGCCTTCCAGGAGAGGCCTTCTCTTTTCATGCTTTCTGTTTCTAATAGGGCACAGGTTTCATACGTGATCAACTTTAGAAACTGCTAACGAGTTAAGTTGTTATCACAACAGATACACTCATATTCCTTAGCTTTCCTCTTATACTTACAGAAAATGGTGTATGGTACAAAAACAAATCATGATACCAAAACTATCTCCCTAAACTGCCCCACTAGATTACTAGGTTACAGCAGACGCCAGAGAAAAAGAGAGAGGAGTTGCTCTGTGCCTGTCTCCAAAGACCCCTCAAGCCATGTTGGAAGTACCCTTTATAGGCTGAGGATGATGTCAAATCATGTTTTTCTTGGTTCAACAATTTTGTAGGATGTTGAATAGTAACTATTTAATTTATAGAAAAATAAGTTTTCAGTACAACAATGTGCCTAGAAGAGTAGATAAAGAACCATTTATCTCTAATCTGTCCATCATAGATACAGGAGCAGAAAAAGAATTCCTTTGGGCATAAAACTATTTACACATAAACCTTTGTTTTCAGCAAGACAAATCAACTGGAGTCTTTCAAACAGCAAACACAGTAATTGTTGAAAGCAAAAGGTCACACTAGATTAGTTTGATTGGAAAAAAGAAAGAAGTGATAAAAGCTCTTTCTCTTTATCTAAAACTAATTAAAGAAGCAGATGAAAGAACTTTGCTGTGGTAGACATGCTGTTCACTGAAGCAGGCCTCCATTTAATTTCATGCTGGGTTTGCTTAATTATTGTACAAAACACAATTGTGAGGTTAGTAAACTTGAGTAAGTATGAACATATGCATGGGTTGGTTTATAGGTAAATTCTTATTGAAAAAACAGAAAATTTCAGCGGAAACACATTATGTGGATGGAGAGGACCTAAGACAACTACGTCACATCTACATAAGGATTAGCCTGTTGCTTTGCGTTTGTATTTACAGTCAGAGGAGCTTTCAGGATAAAATTCTGAATGTCTAAACAACATTTTGGAAGAGAAATACTTTGCTTTTTCTAATGACTGGGGCAAAGGATAATTAGTCTTTATAATTTTGACTGCTTTATTATTTGAAGTCAAAATGACTGAAGCAACATCAGAAAGCTTTGTTCTGCCACTCCTGTGTTCTGGAACTCCATCACTTGTGCAAGGACAGCCTCTCTGGGCTTTACTGTTTGCTTGCAACAGGCTGCTTTAGAAAAGGTGATTTGTCATTCCTCATTAAATTATTTTTAGAGGCTAATATGCCCTAAGGGGTGGAAATCAGGTTCCCTTATCATCTTAGGGATCACCATGCCCAGATACAAAACTCCACGTATTACAAGAAAGTATAGAAGTACAACGCATTTACTCTCTTGGCCTTTACTGTTTATCCCTTTAATGAGCACAGTTAGGTGAAGTGTACAGGGAACGTATAGCACATCAGAATAAAACATCACAGGAAACCTACTTAATAAATTTGTGTCCAGCATTTACTATTTTTAAATATATACACAAGAAAGAGTTTTAAAATGCTTCATTAAAAAACAGTTCACAATTATACTTATCTTTTAGTCATATGCCAAAAAGATGTTTTTCAGAGTTTAGATATTTGCTGATGTAACAGAAGATACACTGATGAAATACAATGATTCTATTCACATTGCTATGAAGTTCAAGTTAACTTAGGAGAGCATTTTAAGCAATTCTTACCTTAATTTCTAGTACATTTTCATTGCCCATTGAGATCAACACTGGCTTTTCAAAAGGCTTAAACACAGGATTATGTACATAAATGAGATCAAAGTTTTTGGAAAGGATCCCATCTAACATGAAAAAGGCTTTGGTCTCCAGGGGGAGTTGCAGATTCAGCTGTTGCAGTGAAGGAGTGGCACAGCAGATGATCTCAGAATTAGAGCGATGTCCACACGCCTATAGGAGAATGCAATTATCCACTGTCAACAGGACATTGCCTGACAACATCCATAGCAACTTTCTCATTTTACAACTTCAGGCAAGCAACTGACAATACATAATCTTGGGAAAAAAAATCTACATTTAATTTTTTAATGTTGAAGAGTACATTTCTGGAAATATGATAGATGCTAAGATTTCCCAACAATGCAGTCTTCGAAGGAACACAGAGCTTCACTGGCCCAGAAAAAGCTACGGTGATTTATCTGCAGCTGGCCTTCACTCCATTGTTTTATTTTCCTTAAGAAAACATGACAGTCACCTGAAGGGACTGCAGCCTGGTCTTTTGAAGCAGCTATGTCTAAGTGGGAGGTGGATTTTGTGGGGTTGGAAGTTCCTGTTTCAGATCCTAGCTTTACCTCAAGCTGTGGGAACTCAGGCACAGCCCTTACTCATAAACTCAATTTCCTCATTTAGGAATTAAGATTAAAATGTTATTCAGAATGTAGCATACTACATGGTGTTTTGTGTACCACAAGGCACCATATATAGTTAACATTATAACTGACTGCATAGTTAGATTATTTTATTAGTGTGTTTTAAACTGTTAAGTTTCTAGAAGGTGCCAGTTTCTGTGTAAAATACATGATTGGTCTCATTCAATTCTCCTGCTAATCCTATAGGGAGGTACCATGATTATCCAGTTTACAGATGAAGAAACTGAGCTTTGTAAACATATTAACTGAAACCAGGTCACAGCTCTGAGGGGCAGAGTAGGGTACATGCATCTTAGGCCATTAACATCAACACTCACTGTCTTAACTCCCATGCTACATTTGTTTTCATTATATGTTCTATATTGGTAAATCTCCTATGTTCTCATTTTACAAAGGCTCTGCTATTATTATTTCATGCCCTTTTATCTCTCATTTCAAATCTTCCCCTTTGAAATTATGATTTATGGAATTTTGGAAAATGTGGCTTCCTCTTGATTGTACTTCGACTAAAACCAGCAACAAAGTGGTATAGTTAAGGTTAAATGGTTGCGTTTTTTTCCCCCAAGGAAAAGACAAACAAGCAACAACATCCCTTAGATTTCCTTTTCTTTGACAAGTATAGTTGGAGATAAAACAATTCTTTATGCCCACAATAGCAAAATGCCTCAGGATATACATAAAAAGCACAAACAGAATTTGGTGTTTGATATTTTTAAAAATCACTAAAAATTATCCTACATTTAAAAATGAATGTTGTAAGCAAACAAAACAGATACAATATGAATAAAATATTATTTAATTTTATATCAAAATATTATAATGTTAAAAACTATTTATTTCTATCATCTTTAAAAATGGAAGTGAACAATTTTGCTGCCATCTCAAAAGTTCTCTACATAACAACCACTTTGAAACTGCCCAATAAACTGCAGGATTCTAGATGCAATATGCATTAACAAATTAATACATATTTTGTTAAGGTAATTATTTCTATTTTAAAAGATTCCAGTTTATTGGACTTAAAGTTACTGTGGCTTGATTTATGTGTCTAAATCAGAACTGACCATAATTTTTAACTTGTTAAATAATAAATGGGTTTAATTCATCATAGTCAATTTCAAATTCTATAAGCCATAGGGAATGTTAAAGGAACACATATCTCTTTGTGAGGTAGTTTTCACAAACAATAGTAAAACAGTAAATAGTGACATAGTAAATAGTAAAATAGATCCACTGACTGTTTCACTCCCATCCAATTCCCATGTGTAGTTCTATTGTACCAACATGTTTGTAGTTAAAACAATAGGTGTCTACATTTTCAGATATGTACACAGATAAGATTTTATCCTTAACCATTGTTTGACTCTTTCTTGGGAAATGCATCTCTTATATCTAATACCTGGAAGGTTTCTAATAAATAGTTGATTACAAATAAATGAATGAAGCTAAAGTTTAAGAGCTATTCTATGAGTCATCTTGATGGTAAGGGAGATGAAAGCAAATATAGTCATTAATTTTAACAATAGAGTCTTGATGTTAATGAAACTAATAATTTCTCAGATTTCTACTTTAAAAAGTCATATGCAAACACCAAAGAGAGTTAGTGTTATTTTTATTTGGCTAATGAAAAACCTTATCTTGGTTGTGGAGAACTGATGTTCTACAAATTAACAGCAGTGGTATTCTAACTTTGTTTGTGGCCATGTGTGGGGACTGGCTTCAAAGCCCTTTACTTCATGCAGGGTCTCCCAGGAGTACCATCTCTCAGAAATATGATAAAAATCTAATAATACTTGGTAGAGGTGATGCAATGTGGCTGATTGAGAAGGTCAAGAAAAATCTCATTTGAGATGACCTTATTGTTTGGTGATTTAGCTTGACATTTTTAGCCCCAAATTGGTTTTTGTAATTAAAGAACACTGTGGCTTTAGTCTTCAAGAAATATTGGATGGGGAATCTCAAAGAAAGTGCTGTAATTTAATCTATCACCTGCCCAATCAAGACCCTGCTTGAACAGGAGCACTTAGAACTTCCATTCTAAGTTGAGTGCACATGTCCAACTAGATTATGTTATTTTTATAATAGAGAAAAGCATCAATGAAAAATGTGAAATCTTTGGAAATAATGTCAAGCTTCCTGATGTCTAAACAAAAATGAGTGGACTAGTGAAATTGTTAAGAGTACAAAATGGGTCATTTTTAAGAACACAATCCATTAAAGGTCCAATTGACCTTACAAATAAAATAAGGACAGATGGAGAAAGAACAAACACCAACCACACCTGGGACATACATAAACAGCCTAATGCTCTCTCTTGTTAATTGATAATGTGCTAACAAAGGGACAAAAAGAATGGTAAGAAGAATGGGGGAGTAAGAAAACACTGTATGTCTGCTGCTTTAGAAAGACAAGGATGCTACTGGAAGATCCCAGGCTTTATTCAAGTGATTTATTAGAACAAAAGAGTCCATAGTCTATGATGCATTACCAAGGGAATACAGAGGAGTGCAATGATTTCTGTTTTTACTCATTGTCTTTAAAAACATTGCCTTTGAGTTGATGATCTTCATTGTATCTAAACATATATGTGTATGTGTTTACAATGTCAGCCCAAGACTAGATAATTTTAAGTTTGTTGAATAAAAAAACAATATTTGGCCTATGCTGAAAAGAAAGTAACTACCAAACATTAAAGGCAAAACCAAAATGTTCCATGTGCCCTGAAAGCCAGGTGGCAGAAGCTCTGAGAACCACCATTCCAAGGACTTACCACTGTATAGTTCCTTCCTGCTTCTTGAACATTTATTACCAGCTTTGGAATACTAACTGAATTCAAATTTATTCCAATGCCCGTTATTGTGCTCCCACCGCTGGCAAAAAAAAAGTAGAAAAATGGCAATAGTGAGAAGTTTTTTCCAGTAAGTATTTTAGACAGAGGTTCTATTTTATTATATGCAATGATTATATGTTAGAGGAACAACCAAAATCAAATGGAAGGTCAGGGGCTGTTCTTGGGGAACAAAAAAGAAAACCACATATAACTACTGTTGCTGGATGGATACAATTAATAGAAACAGGGCAGATTGATCTGGGTCCCATGAGATAGTAACTCAAAGGGAATCTGGTATAAGGAAAAGTTGTGCACAAAGCAGGCTGGACAAAAAGATACACTAAGAATGGAATAGAACAAATGATTCCCCTTTTTGGGCACTATACATGGTATAGAATTGACATACATAATATAAATGTGTACATATTATGGTGTCACATTGAACTATTTCATTGTAATACATTTAAAACATAACAAAATAGAATTAAATGCTTCTTGGCATTAACTAGCATAAATTAAGTTAGATTGTACCCAGTCTCTAATTATAGTTTTCTCCACTGAATTGGAAAGGCAACTTTCAAAAGAAATGCAACAACATCAAAGCTAGGGGTAAAAATGCAATTCTTCTTAACTATTCTACAGTGATATGATCATTATGTTATTTTTATTCTTATCAGAAGTTTTTACTTACCTAATGAAAGATTTGGTAGGGTGAATTTCATAGACAACAGGGTCTTCTTGGTAACTGAAGCTGCCCATCTCTCGGTTTGCTAAGTCAATTTTCAGCTTAACAGGGAACTCAGCTGAAATGGTTTGGGTTGGGGTATAACATTCAAGAATACTATTTGACACACTGAACCAAAGGAAAAAAAAAGAAAAAAAATGGACCTTAGCTATTAGCGATACACATACTTTAGAGTTACATCCATAAATCAAAGCGTATAACTCAATGACTCCTAAATGGGAATTTCCTGAGATGGTCCACAAAAAAAGCCCTTTCTAGTGCAGGCTGTTTACATTTGACTGGATCTGAAACAGCCTTGTTGTTGAAAGGCCAACCTTGACTTCAAAACATTTGACATTTTAAGCAACTTTTAAAGTACTCTTGGTACTTGAGTAAACTGAGCTCTTTCAACTCTAAAAGCAAAAACATAACTTTCTCCCAAACCCAATCTCTGCCATTTCTTCTTTTTCCAGTGACTTATTCTAATTTTAAATCTTGATGGAAAAGTTTATTTTAACTTATTGTCAATGACCAGATCATCAAATTCATAGTATAACGAGGATACTAAGCTATTACAATAAAGGCGGTGGACAGGAAGACAAAACTCAACAGGGGAGTTAACAAATAAGGGAAGAGCAGAAAAATCAGCAAAAGGAAACAGATGGATTTGGGAAGGAGAGAATTTTATCAGCAGGAGAGTAAATAATAAACACCTCGATTTTTCTTCATGAGGAAAAAAGTTACTAGGTATAGATATTAATACAACTTGGCAAATGGAACAAAAAATAAATTTATAACACCTTTTTAAAGTACATGTTTTTCCACCAATTGAAATGTGTCTAGAATTCCCACTGTTGAGATATTTTCCAGTTAAAGTAAGCAAAGTGCCACCAGCCTTGGGACCATAACTTGGAGAAATGCTTGTTATTACAGGATCCTGAATAGGAGATAAAAACAAAGCAACGTGTTAATTTTATCACTCTAAATACATTAAGTAAAAATCAAACATCCTAGTTCATGCGAAAAGTAATGTTTGAACTTACTACATAGGAAAATGTACTATACTGTGTTTCCCCTCGACTGTTTGAAATAATTATGGACATATTGAAATGCTCATGCATTGTAGGACCAACTGTGCATTTCAACCTGAAAAAAAGCAGAGTTTAATATGTTACAAATCCACAGGCATTTTCTGGTTTGGCTGTTTTTTTTTTTATGATGGCACATTAACTCCAAATTATGAGCTGATGACTGAATAGCAAGTAAAGTTTCATGGTAAGCATTAAGGCTGAAAATTGTTTTGTACTGTTATGACAAACTTTATATTGATTATAATACAGTATTTGCATAGGCCAAATAGGAAACTTTAAATTTCATCAGTGCAAACTTCACCTATTAAAAAGTGCACAATAATCTAAGCCCATAAAATCAAAAGTATGTTTAAAATGTCTAAGATAAAGAAAAGGTATTTCAGTAGCATATGAAATAATGGGCTATCTATAAATAAGCCAAATCTCTCTCTCTCTTTTTTTATTTGTTTATTCATATGTGCATACATTGTTTGGGCTATTTCTCTTCCCTACCCTCTCCCCGCCCTCTCCCTCTACCCCACACCTTCTCGCTTCCAGGCAGAATCTGTTCTGCCCTTATCTCTAATTTTGTTGAAGAGAAAGTATAAGCAATAATAAGAAAGACAAAGCATTTTTGCTAGTTGAGATAAGGATAGCTATACAGAGAGTTTCCCAGCATTGCTTCCATGTAAAAATGTGTTACATCCCAAGTTGATTCATCTCTAACTGACCTTTTCACTAGTTCCTGATCCCCTTCTCATATTGACTTTTGTCACTTTTAGGTTTCTGCATTAGTTCCTCTGCAGTGGGGACATCAAATACTATCATGTTTTGGGTTTCTTACCTATCCCCATTCCTCCTGTGTGTGCTCTCCCCTTAGCATGTGACCCAAGTCCAACCACATTGCTGTATTTTTCCCTAGATCTAAAGTCCGCATATGAGGGAGAACATACGATTTTTGGTCTTCTGAGCCTGGCTAACCTTGCTCAAAATGATGTTCTCCAGATCCATCTATTTACTTGTGAATGATAAGATTTCATTCTTCTTCATGGCTGAGTAAAATTCCATTGTGTAGAAATACATTTTTTTAATTCATTCATCAGTAGTGGGGCATCTTGGCTGTTTCTATAACTTGGCTATTGTGAATAGCGCTGCAATAAACATGGGTGTGCAGGTGCCTCTGGAGTAACCTGTGTCGCATTCCTTTGGTTATATCCCCAGGAGTGGGATTGCTGGATCATATGGCAGATCTGTTTAGATTTTTAAGAAGCCTTCAAATTCTTTTCCAGAGTGGTTGCACTAGCTTACATTCCCACCAGCAGTGTATGAGGGTTCCTTTTTCTCCACATCCTCGCCAATACCTGTTGTTAGTGGTGTTTTTGATGATTAAATAAGCCAAATTTCTTAATCAAAACATGTCAACAGGCACATTTTTATGGTTATTTAAATTACTTGAAGGAAATGCAATTATGATAGACTTTTCATAGAACTAGTTTTAATCAATAATCTTATATTTATAAAAAAGTTTGAATTTAATTTGTTTTGTTAAATAACTTTTAAGAGAAAAGAATGAATTATGTTTCATATTTACAGATCTTAATTTATAATGCAATAATCAAGAGTTTTGGAGAACTTATGAGAGAGTTCTAAAATTAATTTGTTTTGTCATTAACTAACAAGTATAACATTAATTGATTCTTTGGTATCAGTAAAATGAATTAAGATCTTTTACAACCCTGGAATAAAGTCTAGTAGATATGACAAATCACTTGCAAGAATAAGTTCAGCCATAAAGATTCAACCAAGAAAACTTTGGTTGTTGCTACTACATGATAACGAATATTTTGTGGATTCTCTGTTCATTATGGAATTCAGCTTTTGGAAGGTATGTAGAGAATACAGTACAATAAGCACAGGTCTTCAATCAGAATTGTTGTTTCAAAGCCTGTTCAGCTCTTCTTCACCTGATTGCTAAGCTGCACTCCACCTCTCTGAACTTCAGGTCCCTGCTTTGGAAGGACATCAGAGATGGTGCAATGAGAAACAATGAATGTGGTGTTGATCACTATCAGCTGGATATAAATTTAAGTTTACCTAAAAAGAGTCTCAAAAATATGACTGAGGGGTTTCTCTACACTTCCAAGGACTCATATGTAGATTTAGAAGAGAGGATCTGGATTGGGAGACTTACTGATTTTTATAAAAAAAGCCTTTGCAAATGATATGGGCAGACTATAAGGATGGAGTGCCACTCTTTCAAATCTACCCAATTTCTGAGGAATTATAATGGATGCAAAACTCCCAGATGCTGGATTCTTGTTTTCTTCACCTAGGGTAAGTCACCTATCTCTTTTCCTATCCCTATAAGTATAGAGGATTAAAAGAACAAAACAAAACAAATCTACAAATTCCATGACAAACCAAGACCCTTATTAAGTCAAGAATGAGAATTTTGAGCAACGTCTTTAAAACCAACATTCATTCAAAAACAAAACCTGTCTTCTAAGCCCAGCCCAGCAAAGCATTTTAAGATCCTTACGTATTTGTTGTGCTTTCACTTAAGGTCAAGGTGCAGCTCTCATTGCCAAGGAGAACTTTGGTTTTCCTTAAATCAAATTTATTATTCCTCTTGAATCCAAAGTCCCAGCCACATATGGTCAGCATTGTCCCTCCTTCAAGGGGTGCACTAGTTGGGAAAACCTGCAAGGACAACATAGAACTTAAAAAAAAATTCAATATAACTATTATTTTTTGTATGTATGGAAAACAAACAAAACAAAGTATTTATTCTTAAATAGTCAGAAACTCTTCCATTCTCCCATGATCTGAATTTTCACTAAAAGAAAGGGTCACAAATTCCAGAGCACCTAGAACAAGCACTGAAACTACCTGACATGCTGATGAAGCAGCTATTTTTAGGAGATGCAGAGATGGGACCAAGAGCAGTCAGCCTCGATGGGGCTGCAGGCCTTCTGGGCATTCAGAAGTGAGTGAGCTCACTTTCCAGGGCTCTTTTGGGCAGGAGTGCTTTGGGCCCAGATTCTTACTGGCTTGTGACTGAATATAACTTCTTCATAAGCATCCACATCAAACTCTGATCCAAACTCCTTCATAGGCTCAGTAAGTCAAAGTCCCATATATGGCTTGCTTTCTATCCCAGCTCTGTGTGCACATGCTTGTTGCTGTGTTACTCCCCACCCAGAGTAGAAAAAAAAATCACAAAATAAAATACCTCTTTTGGTGTCCAGTTTTTGCACTGTTGTATCAGCTATTATACCAGACACAGAGATTGTCATCAATACATACTTGTCACTCATTGATACATTATCACTTACAAACCATGTCTTATGTGCAAGGCACTGACAAATACATAGATAAATGTACTTTTTTATACTTATACCTGGATCTACTTCTTTACAACTACTAAGATTTTTTATTGACTTAGGATTTTTCATTGTTCTTTAAATATGGTCACCATTTGATGCATAATGTACATGATGTACAATATTTAATACATACAAAAATCCAGAAATAGGAGAGAGCCCCAAATCAATATTATAGTAATTTTTCTAATTATCTTCATTGGCATTACTTTGCATCTCATTTAAAAAAATTTTTTTTTGCCTCATGTTCAATAAATAATAGGTTCTTTGTATTATTGCAGGCATGCTTTGATGGGGTAAAAGTGAAATCTGAGATTATTAATAAATCATAGGTGAACATGCTATAAGATAGCATCAGGCACTTATGAAATCTGTAAGACAACTGTTCTTAGGCTAAAACTATTTAAGCAAAGCACATTTAAAAGTTAAAAATAAGCTTCTCCTAGGGAGCTGTGTGACAATTGAGAAAGGAAATGCTTCTTTAGGGGGGCATATTGTAAATTGTGCTGTAAAGTACAATGGTGGGAAAACACAGCATGAGTATAGAGGCAACTCAAAAACAGAAAAGGTATTTGCTAAAGCCCAGTTTGTGCAAGTCTTACAATTAAGAAGAGCTTTCAGCAAAATTCACATTTGCAAACATTTCCATTCTTCCTGAGTAAATAATCGCAAACCAAAAGTTTTAACTTATCCTTGTTACACAAACCCCTTTAAAGTCTTAGCTTAATGCTTTTATGACAGCCATTTTACCCATAAAAATCCATTACACAGTTAGGCCTTTCATGAATGCTTACCTTGTCCATGTCTAGCCAAATGAGAACTGCTAGAAAAAAATCCGTTTATTATTATACTAGAAATCCAGTAGGAGAGAACAAGACATCCAACCCTCCCAGGACTTTCTTCAGCATGAGGCCAATGCACAGCTGCTTTCCCCTGTTTTAATGAGGAGTCTCCCCTATCCAAAACAGCTGCCCGAGGCTGATGTGAGCCTGATCCCTCTGCCTAAATACCCCTGTCCTATGTAAAAATTGACGTTTGTCACTTGACACACACCATCAATTTCTATGAAAGGCAAAGGGACTGGCTGATTATTTGAGAAGAGACACTGTGAGTTGTTCAATTGGTGCACTGGCAATAGGAATGGATATTACAAACCTCCACTAGGCACTCAGGATTTAAAAGGACAGCTTTGCTTGGTTTTTCTGTCTGGGCTGAGTATTGTCCCCTTAGCTGATGGGGTAACCTTCACCCTTCCATGGGAAAAGGAAGGAAGCGGTCATGGACCACACACCCTTGAGAGCCCCAACAATGGGCTGGCAAACTTTGAGCTACCCTTAAGCTCAGAGAAACTCTGTGGACAGGAAATGAGTGTCCGGCAGAAAGCCACAGAGGCTTGGTCTCCCACCTGTCTGGATAGGGCAGATACAGCCACAAAAGTAGCTCTCATCCTACCATCATGGATGGGCCATTCCCAACAGTATTTTAAGATCATATTTTTTAAACTCACTAAGAAAAAAATGAGACACCTTAAAAAACTTGAAAATTGAAATTCACAGTGGAAGCCTCCTTTCTGCTTTAGCAGGAAAAAAAGTCACAAATACACTGGTGGCAGTGTATTGCCTGCCCACTCCCTACCCCCAAGGAGATATTGCTGCTCTTTCTTATCTAAGTCTTCTGATCAATTAATAAAGCAGTTTTATTGTCTCCCTGAAATTGACTGAAACCCTATAAGCTATGACAATTTTATCCTGATAAATTCAGAGTACACTGGTGAAGAGCTCTTCCTTTTCTGAAGCATTTCTCAGTGCTCTTTAACTATGAGATCAGATGACACATTTGAAACAAAATAATGGGTTTATAATCCTGAAATCTCTCCTATCTGGAGCTGTAAAGAATTTCAGCCACTGATCACCATGTACCTTGAAAAGCAGGTTAACATGGACGTATTGGAAAGAGAAACTCTAGACATTAGCTGAATTTGGGACGTGTAGAGTTTAAGACAGATAAGAAAAAGATGAATAGTCTGTCTTTTTTTTTTTTTCAGTAAGAATGCTAAATGTCACGGTCTAGCGCAGTATGAAATCTTCCTAACAAGTGTGAACCAAGAGGGATTTATGGACTCAGCTGCACTACTTTCCTTCTAACCGTGAGCCCACGCCTCATGGGCTTGTGCACGATACAATGCAACCCTTCACAATCACGAAATGTATGGTGCTGGACTTAGGGAAAGTGAGAGAAGAGGGAGATTCAGACATATGAGAGATTGCCTGGTTCCAGAAAGTTCTAAAATATTTGCTCTCTTTTCAATCACTTTAATGTGGCTTTCACAATTAGTAAAAGGAAAGACTGGGCCAAAACTAAATGTTTTATTTGTGCTGGTTACCAACCTGCTTTCTTTATTTAAAATACCAATTTAGCTATTTTTGAAATGGATTGTTGTGATTTCTGTGTGTGTGTGTGTGTGTGTGTGTGTGTGTGTGTATAACTCCATATATCTTTTATGGAATATGAAGAGTTCAAATTTCTAGTGTCTCAAATTGCCAAGGCTGGGTGTTTACAGAAGTATAAAATTGCATATGGGTTTTATAAGTAAATTGAACAACAAAAAGTACATGTATGTCATAGTATAGTTTAAATTTCTTTGCTTACACTCTTTTAGTTTATTCTTTGACCAGTCAAGCTGAAGCCTGATAATTGTGTCACACCTTAACAGAAAATGAATTGGTTTAAAACCCAGTCACCCACTGCAAATCTTGCCCTAAACCATAACTAAACGAAAACAGCCATGTGCTGGGGGCGGTTCTTGTTCTGCCTTGTGCACTTTGTTTACTTGGACACAAACCAGGTGACCAAGATCTTTAACTTGAATCTTTCACAAGAATCATTTACTGAAGTCCAACTGTTCTACATGCAGGCTGAAAAAATAGATACTGGGTCCTCATCTAGGAAATGTTTTTAAGAAAAACATACTTGGACCAAGAAATTAAAAACAATTCCACAGAGATTTTCATAGTACCAAATATATGCTTAAGCAAATAAGGCAAGAGTTAGAGTGTGGCTGCAATGTTAAGGCTGACATCCACAGCAAAAGCTGGGTTCTCTAACAGCAGAAGGCATATTTGTCTTTTTCTGGACTGTTGTCTCCAGTATTCAGAAGAGGGCCTGCCATGTGATATGCATTCTGTAAATATTTTTGGAGTGGATTAAAGAATAAAATGGCTTTCAGAAGGCCAGATGTTAGTATAGTCATCAGTTAAGCCTTTACTTCTCTCTCTCTCAGGTACATTGAGATAAGACTCATAGCCACCGAGGGGGCTCACCTTACACTTGCCTTTCACATTGCCCTAGGAAACAACTCTAGTCTCATCTATGATGACCCAAGGCTGTCATTGATGCCTTGTGTCCTGTTTGCCCTTGCATGGCTGGATTGTCGCTTTCATGGTTCAGCTTAGGGGTTTGGGGTAAGCCAGGAGCAGATCTGTCTTTGTGGTAGTGAAGGCTGATGTCCCGGCACCTGGCATAAAACAGGTGATAAGGTATTAGAATGAGTTGGGGAGGAGGGAACAGGTCCCAGTGTGAGGAAATGGGGAGAAATTCTGCTTTTTTATGCACACAGCACTAAGAGAGAGCTGCTCAAGAGAGGATCTAGTGAATATGAAGCAAGTACTTCAGGTGCAGGTCAAGAGTGCCCCAACACCATGAGAGGATTAAAGCTAGGAGGAAGAGGGTTCTTTGGCTGAGTTTTCTTATTTACCACTTAATGAGTAAACAGATTCTTGAAATTTTTTTTCATTACAGAGATTTTTACCAAAAAAAAAAAAAAAAAAAAAACCATGCATGACAGCTGACAGAGATTCCAACCTTGTAGACTGCAGGCAGACAGATCTCTTGAGTCCATGTCCCGCTGGGGCATTCGTCTGATCGCACACATTGATTGTGGCACCAGCCACACTGCACAAAGGAAGGGGCAGAGAGACATTGGCTGCAGGACTGGAAATGTGCACAGCCTAAGCCGTTCAATGGGATCTTGGTGATCTGTGAAGAAAAAGGGATAGAAGAGCTCCACAGGGGTTTTGGTTTGTTTAAGTAAAAAAAAAGAATATGCAAAAGCTATATACAAATATCATTTTACGGAGTCTACTAGAGATAGCAAATATGTGAAAAATAGTTGTGATTAAAATAAAAAATAAGATTCCTTCCTTTCCCCTATTGTTGGAACAGATGTGATAAAAGTTATCAGTAGCCAGGGACAGTGCCATGTGGTCTGTTATCCCAGAAACTAAGGAGGCTGAGGCAAGAGGATCGTAAGTTGGAGGCAGCATAGAGAGATGCTGTCTCAAAAAAAGTTAACATTACTGTTCAGGTACATAAGCACTGTCATGAAATTTTGGAAGGTCTATTGAGTAGGGACATTTGCCTCTTTCTGAAGTGATTTTAAAGCAACAGAGTATAATTTAAGTCGTTGGAAAATACACTTGAATCCCTGGAACTTTCTCAGGAATGTTGATACTATTCTGGTATCAAGATGCATCTCTTTCTCTGAGGGAAAAGGGATTACTGCATGGAGTCAGATTCCAATATATATTTATAGGATTTATCTGCCTGCACTCAAGTTCAGTTGTGAGGACTGTAATTCTCATTCTCTGTGTTTGTTTTTCTCATTGAGAAACACAGTACTAAAGTAGAAGTGCACATTATGAAGACCTCCCTTGGGCCTAATCTTCCATGAGGAAAAAATTAACTCTATTTCAGAAGAGCTCTGGAATACTCAAGAAAGAACCTAATGTAGATGTGAATCTAAGATGAAAAGAGAAGTTAGAAGAAGAAGAAGAAAAAGAAGAGGAAGAGGAAGAGGAGGAGGAGGAGAGGAGGAGGAGGAGGAAGAGGAAGAGGAAGAGTAAAACGAAGAAGAAGAAGAAGGAGGAGGAGGAGGAGGAGGAGGAGGAGGAGTAGGAGGAGGAGGAAAAACACAACACATTCATTCAGGAAGAACCATAACGATGGAAACTCCCTGTGTAAACAGGGCTTACTTTCTTCCCAGTGGTAACCAGTGTGTAGCCATTTTGGTTTAATGGATGCTCCACAATCACTTCTGGAGATACAGGGTGAGAGTCCAGGTGAAAATTCACGTGTGGAGTTAAGGATACTGTTCGAGAAACCACAACCTGAGAAACAGGAAACATTCTTATTCCAGCAAGAACTGTTTAAATATGAGTGGAAATGTGGATGATAATGGTAATAACAGATAAGGAGAGCTGGTGGGTGTTTAAACTAAAGACCCAACAGCTCATTTTGCTGTAAATCGATATGACATCTTCTAATCTCTTGCCCTGAAGCAAATTTATCTGAGCCCCAAGACAGACTTTTGCCTATGATCTTTTAATGGTACCCAGGGAGCCAGCACATGAAGACAAATCCTCACAATTGTATGGGGAACTGGAGGAGCCAAAACTCTCCCTAGAAAGAAGACACCACATAGGCTCCAAGGATCCTGGATTAGTTTTTAATTTATCCCCTCAATCCTCTCCACAGGACCATTTTCCTTGACGTAATAGTAAGAGTGGTGGATGGGGAGTCTGGAAACTTGGAGCTGGTTCTGACTTTGCTACTCTTAAGTCATATTTATAGATCTTTTGAGCTCAACATAGGCCCCTGCCACTTTGAAATAATGTGCTATAGGTTTTGCATATACTACTGTCCCATGATATCCTATTACTTGCATTATAAATAAAGTTCTACTTCTTGTCCCAGCTTTAAAATAAGGCCTGATGGTTTTAGCAATGCCTGGAAAATGAGGTCTGGTAATTGGTTTCCTTGTTGCCTTCCGGTATTTCTAATTTAGGATGTTTCCCAGCTATATAATTTCCCTCTGCCTTGTTCCTAGACTCCAGTGATAATGAAGTTTGGCTTTTGTGATGAGCAACTGAGATAAGATCAGGATGATTATTTTAGCTGAACTCAGATTTTAGGAGGGTTTAGGAGTGCTCAGAGAGACTGTCACTCTTAAGTAGGGCATCAGTTTGCATATATGTAAGTGTAGGAGGCAGAGACATCTCTGGGCTTGAAATCTGCTGTGTGAAATTGCCTGACAGCTCTAATAATCTTTCATGTTGTGTTGAAAGTGCATTTGTTTGCCATGGGTATGAAATCATGGGACAAACTTGGGCATCTATCATAGCTTTCTCATACATAAAATGGGAATGCAAAGTAGATGAATAACTGTTTTGTACTCTGACAAAAATACACAAATACAAATGTTCTGGGGAAGCAGCAGAAAATTTTTTTATTCAGCACAGTAATGGAAGCAAGTAGCCTGAAACAATTTAGGAAGATTTCCAAAGTACCTAATTTGTTCTCTTAGAGCGACCTGTTAATAGAGAACCTAACCAAGTTCATGTTAAACCATAAAGTTTTAACATCATGACATTTTTGCTCTAACATTTGTTCTACCTCAAACGCTCAAACTTCCAAACATCTCCATTAAGCAGGGTGTCTGTATTTGCATAGAAGTTAAATGATGGCTCACAGGTCATGTGGTCAGGATGGAAACTACTGTTATTTCCTAAATTTAAGGTCCAATAGGTATTTGTGACCTTTTCAGGCAAAGTATAAAAGAGTTCAATTACCAGCCCTACCTCTGTCTGGGTGCTGGTTATATATCAGATATCAGAGTTCTCAAGCCTCTCTCCTCAATTACCCAGATTTCACTTGTCCAGTTATGTAACCTTAACTCACCTCTGGTGTTCACTACCTCTCATTTTTCTACTCTTCCTCACTGGCCCCCATATTTCCCTGATCACTGCCAATTACTATAAACTGCAAAGGTGAGAAAAAAATCTTTTCTCGTACATAAGTCAAAACCAACACAAAAGATACAGCCTGTATTAATACCCTGATACTGTTCTCCATCTCATTTTGTGATTTCCACTTCATTGGAGATTATTCATCACTATGAACTCTCAGTCCTATGAATATATGCATTTTCATCTGTCTCCTGGTTTCTTCCATGATATTCAGATTTCCCAGAGCCCTTTGAAATGATGCCCTATACTTTTTATCCACTGTCACATGATATTTTAGGAGTATAATTGTTGAGCCTTATGGTAACTCTATATTTAACCTTCCTGCTCCTACCATCTTACTGTTTAAAATCATTTCCCATAGCCAATCCCCTCTTAATTACTAGGTCACCATCTTTGACTTCATCAAATATCTGAAGCCCATCCAAATATTCATTTCCCAGAAAGGATTAACCTTTCCCTTTCTTTTCATAAAGAAGCTCTGGACTTGGATTGATTGATTTGTTTTCTCCCTGTCAAGACATTCTGTCTGAAGACATTATATATATAGCACTTTCATAATAGGTAATCTAATCCAGTCAGTCACTATGCTGAGTGCTTAAATAGAAATTTCATTGACTCCTCACAATTATCCTGTAAGACAGGTCTCTTTTTTGCCTTAAAGACAACACAACAGAGAAATTTAGGTAGAAAGTACAAAAATCAGAATCAAGGAGTTTATCTACTTGCCAGAATCTGTATGCTTGACCTCTTAAACACTCAACCACTAGACTGTTGGAGCACCAGAGTAAATACCAATAAAAACTTCAACTCTAAGATCCCAAGAGCACTGGCGAGTTGAAGCACTAAAACAACTTTCTCAATATCTTTGCTTTGCCATTTATTGTTGTTTCAGTAATCTTGGCTGCAGAAGTTAAGTGTGCCAAAGGAAAAAGCCTCCACATCTAAATGGTTTTTGATGGCACAGAGGAAATATAACAAGCTTAGCTAGTGAATCTCTACTTTTTATCATGAGCTAGGATGAGTGTTGCTTGGACAGGAAGAGAATGCAAGAAGGCCATGTGGAAATGAGGAATGAACCTTGGGAATGTTCACCAGAGATTGTACCAAAGATGCAAATTCCTTTTCAATTGATCATTAGTCCCTTTCTCTGTAGGGATCTACTGCTCTTCTCTCATCCATTCCTCCTTTTCCTTATTGCCAGAATTCTAATAATTGAACTGAATTCTAAATTATTGAAGAATAACTAGTTCAACTCTCAAAATCCCCCTGAAGCAATGCTTGCATGAATTAGGAGTTGCTTTTTTGTTGCTGTGGAGATATTTCTAGGGATAGAACAGAATTTGACATGGAAATTTAATTCTTATGATAAATCACTTGGAAATCTTAGAACAATTAGTGTGAAACAGAGATCTGGCAATTATCTTTTGAGTTTCTACTGTGTCCATGACCAATAATGTTCTTGGAAATACAGAACTAATATTGTTTTGGGGGAGAGGAAGGAACCTGAATTTACTTGATTATTGTGGTTATCATCTCACATAGCCTCTCCTAATAAGCCAGCACTCGTGGCTCATGTCTGTAATCCTAGCTACTTAAAGGCTGAGATCAGGAGGATCTCAGTTCAAGGCAAACTGGGCAAATAGTTCTCAAGACCCCATCTCCAAAATAACCAGGCCGAAATGTACTGGAGGGATGGAGCTGTAGAGCACCTACTTTGCAAGTGGGAAGCCCTGAATTCAAACCCCAGTCCCAACCTCCTGCCAAAAAAAAATTGAAAAACAGGGAGAGAACACAGTGAAGAAATATGTGTACATATCAATGAAACTGTAGTGGTTTGGTCTCAAAATTTGTGAACCTGAACAAAATGATTTTGTGTGATTCTACAAATACATAAAGTTCACATCTCCTTACCATACATATAGACTTTAATTAAACTGTTTTAGAACTTAATTTTTCATTTAACTTTTTTTAAATTGGTGGTACTAGGGTTTGAACTCAGGGGCTTCTCCTTGATATCACATTGCTAGACCTGTGCTTTACTCACTTGAGCCATACTCCCAGTTCAGAACTTAATTTTTTAAAGAATGATGAACACAATTCAACAAAGATACTTGTATGTGGATGTCCATTCCCTTAAATGTCTCTTTCTTGCTTTTTAAAAGCAGACAATTCAATGGTTTTTAGTATATTTACAGATTTGTGCAATCATCACCTTAACCAACTTGGAACACTTGTAGTACCCCCAAAGAAATCCCACACTCTTTAGTCATTATTCCCCAATCTTGCCAGACTCCCTACCCCTGGCAACCACTAGTTTACTTTCTAGCTCTGTATAGTATTTTTCTATTCTGAATCATAAATTTGGAATACTATAACATGCAGTCTTTTGTGTATGGCATTTTCTATTTATGCTTCTTTTTTATTGCTAAATAATATTCCACTCTAGGGATATACTACATTTTATCTATCTATTCATCAAATGATGATATTATGATGATAAATGATGATAGATATTATGGTTGCTTTCACTTTTGGGCTATTGTAACAATGCTGCTATGAGCATTCATGTATAACTTTTTTTCTGGTGGTACTGGGTTTTGAACTTGGGTCCTTGCACTTGCTGGGTAGGCACTCTACCCTTGATCCATGCCACCACCTCTTTTTTGCTTTAGTTCCTTTTAGATGGGGTCTTATGCTTTTTCCTAGGTCAGCCTTGGTCTGAGATTGTCCTGTCTATCTCCTGAGTAGCTGGGATTGCAGGTGTGTACCACCACACCCATCTCTCATGTCTAACTTTTTGTGTGAACACACATTTTCATTTCATTTGGGTATATATGTCTAGGAGTAGAATTGGTGAGCCTTATGGTAACTCTATGTGACCTTTTAAGGTACTGCCAAACTATTTCCTACAATGTATGTACTTCTCTACATTCCCCCCCAGTGGTGTTTGAGGGTTCCAATTTTTCCACATCCTCCTCAACACTTTGTTACTTTCTATTTTCTTGATTACAGCCACTCTGGTGGGTATGAAATGGTACTTTGTTTGGTTTTGGTCTGTATTTCTCTGCCAAATGTTTTCTGAAATCAAGAGGAAAGTTTACTTCTGGAACTTCAAAGTCTTCTCCTTGAGAATGTCTGAGCACCCCAGTCAACTGGTGGCCAGGCAGGGGTAGAAGGAATTGGAAGAAAGTCAAGAGAGGAGATTAAACATGCTCCCAGGCACCTAAGCTTGACAGAGGTAGTGAAGGGTGAAGGATATCACATGGTAGGCTTCGGAGCAGGAGGGGGAGGTCGCAGAATATGTGGCTCATGAAGGAGAGGGAAGTGTCACCGGATGTTGTCACACAATAACCAGACAGGGT